AGGAGGTGGTCAGAGAGGCAAAAGCCCTTCAACAAAGTTAGCTTCCTATTCACAAAAATAGCTTCTGTGGATGTGTCCTTGGTTGCAAGAGTTTGTCTGTTTGCCTTTAACCTTTTTTTTGTATCAAATGTACTGACTAACAGAGAAGGAACAACAGCTTTCCTGCTGGCAACAGCACTGCAGTGCTGGAAAACAGCTGGAGCTGTACCTGCAGTACAGAACCATTGGAATTTAAGTAAAAGAAAAACACACTAATAGCAGCAATCTTGCTAAAGGTGTCAAGCTGCAAACACACATTTGCATTTGGCAAGAGGAAGCCACTGCCACTTTTACTGTCTTTATTGCGTGAACATATTAATGCATGGTGCTAAGTCGGTGCTATTACCATTGAAACACAGCATTGACATTTCGCTCATAACTAAGTTTTAAAGAGTATTGCACTGGGGGAGCTTTTCAATAGTAGTGACACCATTTGGCCCATGCATTTATTCATTTTCGAGGGAAGCACAAATATGCAGCCACACAGTGCTTGGTGGGATTTTCTCTGCTATGATCTGCTGTTGAATTCAAATCAAATATTTTGAACCTCACCCAGCTCAGCTGTTACCAGGACTCTCAAATATAATAAATTCAGGATTTACTGGCAGGCTTCATATTTCTCTGTGTGAAGCCCTACTCATTTATTAGGATTATCTACATTCCACCAGAGATAAGAACCACAGGCACAATGAGGTTCACAGTCTTGTTAAGGTCTTTAAATGCAGAATATATAATAAGCTGCTGCTAATTTGATTTTGTGCTTGATCCTTGAATAATAACCACGAATGTCTAAAAATAATATGTTTTAATTGTTTTTACTGCAAAATAATGACATCAATAGCAATGTATACGAACACTAAGAATGCTGAAGGCATTACAGTAGAAATAACCTACTTCTTATACATCTTTGAAATTTCACCTACAGTAAACACTCCATCTATGTGTGCATCCTGCTGGTAAAGAACCTAAGCCTTATTGGAGTCGTCCATTCTATGCCATGACTTGGACTTAGCTTATGGAATGTGTCCCTGCTGAGTTTTCATTTCCTCTGTCTGAAAAAAAGGAATGCAATCAGAGTACTGATGCTAAAATCATTATCTAATGACTAAAGCTTTTGTATGACTTCTTCCATGCTGTGAGGTTCATTGTTCAAACACATACATCACATATTATTGTGTGGAGAAAGTTGCTTTCAGGATTGTCTGCAGGGCCAGTTGAGTCAAATGTGCTAAGCCTATTCTGTTTTTCAGCAGACGTTTTGATGACATCCTGAGAGCAATGCCACGTTGAGATAACGGGCTGCTGTAATCACACAAAGCAACACAAGACTAAGTACGAGCAGTTTGAAAATAATATCTGCTCATTGAGAAGGCACTGAACAGACTTACACGTCTATACATATCAATAACATCACCTGCATACATTTTATGTTCAAACAGCGTGTTATTAGGGATCTCTGTGATACCAAAGCTAGAGCTGTGGTATTTCATTTCAGAGTGAAACCACGTTGCATTTAGATATTTATTAGCTAGATAGTTACTAATAATCTGAAATGAATTGATGAAAACTAAATTGCATGGCAGATTTTTTTCAAGGTGGGAGGGCTTAAAGTTTTTGTTAGATTAGAATGAAACTGAGGAAATGCATTTTCAAATGTTCTTCTGATGTGTCAGCAATATGCTACTGTAGAACACAAAAACATCACTGCCGACTGCAGTTTTCAAACTTATTAACCACACCACATTCTGTGCTGGATGTGTTTTCATGACATCTTTATGCCCTTCCAGAAACAAAGCATTGTGATGTTGACAGTACGGAGGATCATTAAATTTGCCTGCTGCTCTTCTTGGAGCATAAATCAAGCCAATCCATTTCTCCGACCTTGCTCCCTGGTGGCTTAGTTAGAGTCATGCCAATGCAGCACTGGCTGTGGAATGAGCAAAGCTAAGCATGCGAGGGCTGTCCTCGAGCTGAGCTGTCTGACGGTATAGACAGGCCTTCCTCCTCTTGAGAGCAATACGGATCAAGTGGGCTTAGTGGGCATGACCTGTGAGGGCCCAGACAGGGCCACAACTTGCAACACAACACAATTGTCTTAAGGATCGCTGTCCTATTGAACATGAGAAAACTAGCAAACATCACATTGCTCACAGGCCCGAAACAGGACCTAGATGCACTCCGCTGAGGATACCCAGCAGACTAACGCTTTATGAATAATTCTGAACATCCTCTCTCTTTTTCCCGCCTGATTTAAGAAAGTGAGGCCCTCAAAAACAAATTAGATATCGCACAATCTGATTGCTAAGAAAAGGAATCCTGCAAAGTAAGGCCTATTAGTCTTACAAGACTGTCAAAAAAAAACCTCCAAAATTATGTATCGGTTTCTTTGGCACCATGCAGGGTGGAATTAGATGCAAAGGCGAAGGAAATGACAAGACATTTGCTCGTGGTTTAATTTTCTCAATTGCTTTATGGCCATACATAAATGCTTAAATTAGTTTGTAACATATGCTCTCCTCGCTCTGTTTACTTCCTTCATTTAGTGTGACTGAATCACTTTATTAGTGATTATCCCCCCAAAAGCTGCAGGAATGCACAGCATCACACCTCATCATGTAATTTACCCATATAGTAGGAATGGGAATATGCAAATAGTGTCGGAGTATTTTGCTGCACCAAATATGCCCCTGGGCTGCTTGTCCAATGACACAAATCATCAATTAAGATCTCAGCAGGGTTTGGGGATAAACTAAATTGGCATTTTCCCTATCTGACAAAACGTAGAGCCATGTGGGGTGCATCACAACAAAGAACAACCATCACTGAGGGTGATTGGTAGTGATGGGTTTCGACTCATGTGCTTTAGTGTGTGTGTGTATTCCCAGCTGAATCAGCCACTTTGAGACACTGACAAAGGTACACAAGCATTTGAATCGTGTCAAAGGTAACAGTCCTTCTTTTGGTCTTTCAGCAGTGACTCACAGCAACAGCAGTGTCTTTCAAAGCATTTACTTTCACAGGGGGTGAGACGTTGGCTCCTCATGGGGTTTTATGCTCGGCACTCTGCACCTGCCGAATGTGTTTGACGGAAGGAGCAAAAGTGGTCTAAATCGCCATTGTGATGTCTCAGGGAAGCAGATGATTAGTAAACAAATGGTTCAGGCATGTTTAATTAAGCTAATGTTTCCCCCAATGCTCAGACTGCAGTCTACGCTGTGAGGGGCCTTTACTTTGCAATATACAGTTGTCAGATGACAACAAAGAAACTATTAACAGTTAAGTAACACTGGAGTTCCATTTCCTGAACATTACATTTGGCAAAGTGTGATTTTTTTATTTTCAAATTTAAATGTGTTTGCCAAAGCTGTGTATGTACTGTTCCATCTGTCTGAGTTTTCAATCAAAGCGACTGCGACTGTACAGACTTGGCTTGACTCACAAAAGTACCAAAACACAGCAAACCGACTTGCGAATCGGTGCCTTTTTAACTGCACGATCATTAAAATCAAATACAAGCGATCAAGACAAGCTTTCTGAGAGACACAGGCTCCGTCAAATCACACTGACGGCATTCCACGCCAGTCACACATCTCCTATGACTGAAATAGGCATTCAAGCAATTGTGGAATAAACTAGTCATCTGAAATAGAAAGTGGTGAGTGGCACACAAAGGGGGCCAGTGTTCCGTCCTTAGAGGTTTTGCAGGGCAGGGAAGGCTGAGGGTAAACATTAGACCTCACTGAGATGCAGATAGTTTGAGCGTTAGAAACACTTCAGTCAAAGATAAATTTACCAAAGAGTATGAGACTTCCTGTTTGACCGTTAAAAATACAGACACATGAGGAAAATAACTGTGTTTTGCTTTACATTTTTCTGGAATAAATGCAAGACATTGCTTTGTATAAAAACAAAAAAAACTTTAAAAACCTGCTGTTTAGAAACTACAAACAAGAAAATGAAGACAGACCCCTGTCACAATATACATGTTAAAGGAATAATTTCACAGCAAAACCTGAGGAATTTAAATTTTCAATAAAAAAAGGTATATTTCTAACTACAAGTCGGTTTGACATTAGTATGCTGTGGTTACATGTTTATTTTGTCACAAACAAAACAGCACACACACGGAGTACACACACAGGCACGCACAGACACACAACTGTCTATAATAAAATTTATTATGATAAAAAAAAAATGCTGAATTAACTTGGATCAAATCTGAGTGTAAGTTATTTTACACAGAATTTTTTTTTCCCCCACAAACACGCCAACTTTGCCAGTCAAAACAAAGGCCTTTTAACAAGAATAAAACACACCCCGTAACTTCAACATTTGGGGGGGGGGGGGGGGGGGATATTATTTAGCACGGAAGATTCACACCATCAGATATTTACTGTCAGTTTACCAACAGGCCTAATCAGAACGCGATGTGGCAATAACAAAGCCGTGTAAATAAAATGCCCGCTTCCTGCAGCTATGCGCTCAGTCTGTCCGATCCAGTCTCTATACTATCTTTATTATTCTCTAAATTCCAACCTTTTGCACAAAAGCATCCGCCGCAAAATACAATTCATCCTACACACTGGCAAACATTACCGAGACATTTTTTAAATCCAAACGCCGCATCAAGCAAAGGAAAAAAAAAATAAAAAATCCACTGGTCTTTCAGTCCAGCACAAAAATGCATCTCCTCTCCTGTCCCTCTCTCTTTTTTCTCCCCCACCTCCAATCTCCCCCTCCCTCACTCTCTCTCTCCCTCCCTCACTCACTCTCTCCCTCTCTTTCCCTCCCTCTCTTCCTCTCTCTCTCCCTCTCTCTCTCCCTCTGGCCTGGCTGGCTGTCTGACTGTATGAATAATGTCCTGCCTTTTGTAATGAAGGGGGGGTAAAGGGGAAAAAAGGACGCTGAAGTGGTAAAGCCCTGCTCCCATGCACTGACATTGAAAATGAATGACAGCTTACCTGCATGCCAATCTTCATCAGACTGACACTGGGCTGACAGCACAGCCTATACTCCTCCACACAGCCGGTGACGTCAGCCGTGGCAGGCCCCTCCCACCTCCAGCTCCATCTCCGCTCCCCGTTTTCCCAATACCAGGCTGCTGGTGCCTTCCAGTGTCCATGGGAAATACGGCAATCGCGTGTGGGGCTTCACCAGAACGGTAACCAGCAGACACTTCGATCTGGGGGAAAAAAAGAGTTTTATGGGAATACTTCAAAGCAATGACCTGGAGGTGATGATGCACCAAAATTATTATTATTTTTTTTTGTTATTCTCCCTGTAGGCTCCTACTTTGGTTGTTCCTAACGGATTTAAATATAGCCTAGGGGATTTATGGTCAATCAGCAGAACTTTCAATGAACAAGAAATGTCTCCATTGTGGTCTATTTTGAACATATATAAACAAAGACTAATATGACAATACAGTTGAAAAGTGGATTACCATATCATCTTATTTAATCATTCAGTTTGCTTCCTAATTTCCTTCCTGAGGCAACGGCATCTCTGAAGGGAAAAGAGTGTGTGAGAGTGTCTACAACCTTCAGTTAGGCCTACTTTAGTCTTAAGTCTTACTTAAGTTTCAGGTTTTGTCTGGATCCCATTATCTCCTTGTTATTTGGCAACATTCCAATTAGGCCCAGCCTATATGACCATGCGAGCAAATGGCCCCTGAATCATTCTGGTCTAAACTTCTGAATTATGATCACCAGAGAAACAACTGATGTATGAAATTCATGCATGGGCTTTAACTCCATTTCAACATTTGTTTATTTATTTAGTCATCTAATGTGGGATAGCCTATAGGCCTCTGCTCAATATAGTGATTTTCCCACCTATTCAGGTTTACCAGTGACTGAGCCTATAGCTCAAGCAGAAACAAGACTCCAGGCATGAGTAGCCTACCAGTCAGGCCCATAAGAATCAGAAAAATGCTGGTGGGCCTGTTGCTTGCTCTCACCAATAGGCTACTCTCAAAGAGAGTCTATGAGAAAACCAAACTCAACTCACAGTTTGGTAGTGTGTTTTAACTTACTATTTTGCTGTATGGTTCTCTTTTTACTCAGCAGTCTATTGATTGCTGTAAATTATTTTAAATAGGCTGCAGTCCTCCGTCTGCCTTTTTAAGTATCCAAACAATTAACACACGCTGGAGCCATGGATCTTACGAGGGTCACTTAAAAGCAACATGTCTTCTTCTTCCAGTAAGCAGAGGCACCGCCACTTGGAGTGGGACCTGACCGCATGCACGCCTACATGTCTTTGAACAGCGGATCTGGCCAGCCCCCTGTCGGCCCGCATAAACAATTACATGCTTCAAAAAGACAGGTGGGATGACGGGAACCAGAACCACTGCTGCAATTAAGAGCCCCAGTAGTCAGATTAGTATTGAGACCTAAAATATGCTTCTTTTTCGTCTGGATTAATCCCGGCTAAAACACACATTGAAGAACAGAACTTTGCAGAACCCCTTTTGTCCATAGTGACAAGGCTACAGCCTACCACAGCCTGTCGTCCAGTTTAAGAGATTGAAGATCGGATGGGGATTCCTCTAGGCTACCCCCATATTAGGCCTACTTCCTTGGAGTCATCAGTTAATAACGGTGGTTAATACAATATGACGCGCAAACCACCCGTGTGACCAAATCGACCCACGCGCACAGTGAGGTTAAAACTGGGGACGTTGCAGTGAATTACGCATATCCAATAATCCATCCATTAACAACAGTAGTGGTAGGCTACCGATCCAGATTGTGAGCCTGTGTGTATCTTAGCAGACAGTATCTTAGAGAGTGTGTGTGTGTGTGTGTGCCCTTTGTGCGCGGTTTATTTGTAGGCTATATTATTTTATTTATTGAGGGTGGTGATGGCGCAGTGGATAAAACGCCTTGCTAAATGCCTTTGGCGTGAGAGACCCAGCTTCAATCCCCCATTGAGACCCATCCACCATTGTGTCCCTGAGCAAGACACTTAACCCCTCGTTGCTCCAGAGGCGTGCGACCTCTGACATGAATAGCAATTGTAAGTCGCTTTGGATAAAAGCGTCAGATAAATGAATAAATGTAAATGTAATTTTACTTGGTTGGTCATTCATTTTGAGATAGCCTATAACTGGTCGACCAGCCCTAGGTTTTATACTGATAAATAAAATAGGACAGAAAAGAATAGGACCCGCTCCTTGAGATAATCGAGTTTTACCCTCAAGACTATAAGAAATGTATCATGCTGTTTTAAGTAAAGCTACAGAACGTGAAAGAACCTATTGGTGTCGTGTGTATGGTAAAAGAAAAAGAGTCAGACAAGCTAACTTCAGAGCCCTTTAAGAGAGCCTGCCAGTTACGTTGTCGGTGTTTTCAGTAACGACGCATATGATTGGCCCGTGTTGTGTTCGTTTATCAAATCAAACTCCACTGTGCTGTTACCAGGAAGCGGGAGACGCCGACCGCTTAAGCTATCCCTTGAAGTCATTACTGCTTTAGAATTGACTGCAAAGATTAATTTTTTACGGGAGAAAAGTACGTGTCGAACATCACAAGTTACATTTTTCACTAGTTTAGCATGCAGCTGTCGTTCTCAGAATAGCAGAGAGCTAACTTAGCAGTCACAGCTAACTTACCCTCACGACGCCGGACGGTAACTCTAACTACAGCACTGCTTAAACAATAATGTCACGAACGTCGGTGGTAAAATCCTCCTTCTCCCACTTCACGGGTTAACTGACCTACTACCGTGTAACGTTGCTTAACAACAATGGCCAGTAACGTTGCCGTGCTGGAAGTCGGTACGGGCGTTTTCGTCATTGTTGTGGTTTGGATTGCAGCTCTTGTGTTTGGGATGCTGCTGCTGAGAGCATCTGGATCAGCAAAGTGAGTGTGAACAGAGACAGTGACATCTAGGCCCCGGTTAGAAAAGATTTGCACATTAGCTGATGAAGAATAGCCCAGCTATATATCACATCAGTTTCAGCCAATCCCATACTCCTTTGGAATTTCCGCCACTTTATTGTGGGTTTGTTTGTCTGCCAAATCACACACATCCTGGAACATAAATATCTTCTATAGTTTAATTAGTAAGTTTTGTTTCGCAAAGTCGGCATATGTTTGACTTATCAGGGAGCTCTTTATCCCAGTTTATCTGCGGTGTGCAGAGGAGGAACACATGTAACGCTGGAAATATCAGGAACAATTAGAAGAAAGATTTAGGTGTCAGGCCAGATTCACACCTCAAGGTGTTTTAGTAGGTAATAATCAATAGCTGACGGAAAAATGTGTTAAACTGACATTTTTTTCTTTGGCCTGGTTTTCACACAGAAAGGTTACAACTCTCCTGTTTTTTGCCACCTAAATATTTTGGTGTCTGCTCCGAGAGATCAGCAGAAATAACTTCCTGACTTACACGTTGTGGAACAATTCATTATACCCACAGGCTGCTACACTAATTGAATACTGGGACCGTGCACCTTCCAGTCACTGCTGATTGAAACTTGTTCAGAATTACATCAGACCTTACTGATGTTGGTAAACCACAACACTGTGCACTTGTTTAAGGGACAATTACAGTAAAGTTTAAATGGCGTGAAACATGGTTCTATTTACTTAAATGGAAAGAAAAACACAATAAAGAATGCCATTGTTTTTGATTGGTATTTTATAATGACATTATCCTCAGATAACACTGCGTTTACAGCAAGTCTTAGGAAATCAGCAGTGGGAGTCCTCATGTTATCCTCATTCTTTTAACTGTGTGTCTCTGTGTTTTGTGTCTTGCCAGGTTAGGAGTTATCCCTGTTTTCCTACTGGCTCTCACCATCACTTCGGCGCTGGTGTTTTTCCCTCGCAGCCCAGAGACAACTCCCCCTTTCAAAGAGATAGAGGTGATCTCTATGCATTCATCTCACACACCTTTACACGTTCTTAAAAGCTCAGATACTCACGCCCTGTGTCAGTTTAAATACATCAGTCAGATATTGACAGCTAAATAAACTTATATTCATAGCTCATGTCCTAGAGTATGAATGTGTATGTTGTACTATGTTAAAATGCAAATACAACAGAGAAATCTTTTAGAAATGTGAACAGTTTGATTTGAGAAATGTTAACATTCTGAATTGACGTGACACTAGCCCAGTCCAACTAATTGTCCCGAGTCAGTATTATATCAGACCATTATTGCAGTAAAAAACACAGACTTGAGTTATTATGTGTCTGTTATTGTGGCTTATGCATGATGACGGCATGCTGTACTTGAGTTAGAAATGAAAGCAGGCCTGGGATGTTTTCAGTTTTGCAGTGCGGCCATTTGGCTTTCATTACCACCAAATGTTTTGGGTTCTGAGACCACTGAGTGAAAATGAGGATTCAGAGCTCACAAACAAACAGCTTACTTTAGCTAAATGGTCATTTCGTGCTCACTTCTATGCTCCCAAAAGTTACGTTTAATCACATATAGCATCAGTTTTCTTCATGCATTATGAACAATTTAGGATCAGTAAAGGAAATGAGACTACTTTTATTTCATCAATCACAACAGTATGTTTTGTAACATCTCAAAGGGTAATTCTTATTTTGCGTGTGTGTGTGTGTGTGCTTGTATGGGCCAAGAGCCAAAAGAAACAGCTCAGATTATGTGTGGTTGTAACTAAGAGCAGAATTATTGCCTTTATTTTTGCTGATTAAGGATACAGCCTGTCTTTAGGTTCGATGAAGGTGAATATAAACAACCTAAGCCAAATAAAACCTTAACTCTGATATAAGCCAGTATCTCCAGTATTGTATACCGGTAAATAGCATGCGTCACTGTGTGTGCACACTTCTGTGTGTGTGTTTGTCGTAAAGACCTGGTCTGCTTTATCTTAGTCCAACAGCAACACAGAACAAACACTCCCCCATGTTGCCTCCGGGTCGTGCCAATAAGCCGGCCAGATCTGCCAAGCAAGCTGCCACCCCATAGAAATAGCAGAGCAGAGCCCCGTCCTGGCTAGCGCACATTTTATAGCCTTTGTGCAAAGGCAGATACTAGACCAGCAACAGAGGGAGGCAGCAAATTACGACTTCCTGGATTTATGTACAAGGCTTACAAGTCAAATCAACTCATGGCTACTTCAGAAATGTATTTCAATGTGTAAAATAGGTCGCAAACAAAATCAGGTGTAATAACACAAGGCCAAAGCAAAGCAAAAAGTCATCATTACCCATTATTTTGCTTTTAACCATTACTAATTATCATTTGGCCTGTTATTTCTTTAAATTGGGAGGCTATATAATAAAAGATTTAATTTAAAGAAGAGTTACATGATTGTAGAATGGAACAATTTTACTGCAGTTTATTTTATTTATTTATTCCATGGATAGAATATATTCAGCTTTGCCTTATTTAGAGGTTTAACTTCTCAAATCTGGAAAACAGAGAATGTGAAGGTTTCTCTGTAACTCATTTTTGATATTTTAAACAGAAATAAATCAATGCAAAATAGTCAGTTTTCATACAGTACTAGAAAAACTGAAATCCTCATCTAAATGATGCATGTGATGGTGAAAAACTCCTTCACTCAGTTTTGTGTTCGTATCTTTCTTTGGTTAGACTCATTTTCAATGAACACAAAAAAAAAACTGAAATCTTACTTGCAAGCAGAGACATAATTTATATGACTGAGTGTTTATGTGTGCAGACTGTGTAGATGTCTAACCTTTTGCTGTTAAACAAAAGTAAAATATCATAGTGCCAATTAGGCCAGTCCCAGACTAGTGGTGGGGGTGGTTTATAAAAGACCCCCCCTTTCCACACACACACACATTCACTCGCCTGTCTGCTCCCACCCGTGCGCTCAGTGGCACATTAATAAAACATGGCCCACACTTTGGATTCCTGCTTGCTGTGTAATTGGCAAATTAAAAAGTGAGATGTGTTAAATGCATCCATAAGAGATGGTATACATCATCCCCAACTCTCCAAGACACCAGCGGGTTTATACACACACACACACACACACACACACACCTACTCTCATTCCACAACAGTCTCTGTGAAATCTCTCTTCAGTCAGCAGTAGGGCTGATGCTGGTATTATTTGGCTTAAGGGCGTTTTCTCAGTTTGTATTCGCGTATTCATGGGTGGCTCATGATCTAAATATTAACACAGATCCAGAAGTGAAGCGTTGATTAAATCAATCAATGGCAACTTTATGAACTTCTCCAAACTTAAGCAACACGACCAATCTAGAGGATCTGTTTTTCCCTGCTCCTTGTTTGCTTTAGATCTGTTAATCGACATATTACTCAGGTGAGCTGCAGTGTTGTGTGGCACAACAAACATGCAGTGTTTTCAAATACCCTGCTGCACAAGTTATTCCCTCATCATACAGGTCTCATTTCTATACGAATCAATAACCACTGCTTGGCTATATGTCCAGCCTGTTTTTCTGTCTCTGGGAAGTGGCTGGGATTATTTTTCTGTGTGTAAGATAACAAGAGGTCGAAACTACACATTACTGTGCTGTATTATAATCTATTGCCCTCCAAAACCCAAGAGTAGTTTTTTTCCTATTGTTCTTAGTTATGACCACATTTTATTGGTTGGTGATTTTGAAGGATAACTTCAGTATTTTTCAGCCTGGATCTTATTTTTCTTATGTTTTTGTGTCTGTGTGACTAATGGAGACAAAATTTTTTGAAATTGGTCCAGTGTTGAGCGAACTGGAAACAGGGAATAATCCTTGTGGGTAATTGCCCCTTTTCAAAGTACGTCCATTAAAGGGCTTGTTTTTGCCACTGACAGGCTGAGATTGTTATTACAAGTGTCTGACAACATTTCTAAAGAGCAAGATCCTTATTGTTTCACCGCTATACTGTGTTTAATAAGGTTAAAAACACCAAAGTCACACAATAACACAAACTAACCCATCGAGGCAGCAGTAGACCAGAGTGGTAAAATCACTATTGTTGTCAAGGGAGTCTGGTGGCTTTGACAGGAGTGATGTAGTGATTGTTTCTGGTAACGGAAGTGATCTTACTCTTTAAAAAAGGCATATCTCTGTAGGCATCCTTTCATAATGTTGTCTGACAATCTGAGCCTGTCAGTGGTTAAAACAGTGGACGTACTTCCACGGGACGCAATTGCCCCTTCACTAAGCCACGCCCTGAGTACGCAGCTGGCCAATCACAGCGCTGTATTTTTCCAAGATCTGGTCAAACGCTGTTCCTGGGGCACTTGTAATAGTTACAGTCGCAACCCAGAGAGGTTGAAAGGAGAAGTACGATTTATTCTCTTTCCAAAACCTGAAACAAATCCAGAAAAATGTGGGTTGTTCCTAATGTAATGTTAGTTAGCTAACGCTAGAGAACTTATTGCTGAAGGTCATGTTATATTGCCCTACTGTTCTGCTTTTTAATGATTGTAATAATGAATAGAGGCCTACCCAGCTGTACAGAAACAGTGTTGATCTTTAATATCGTTGTACCTCTTTCTCAATAGTCAGGTAATATGGCGGTTCACTTTTACTCAGTGATCAGTAGGCTTTAGCTTCTGTCATTATTTTTTTCACGTCAGTCTGACAGCCTGAATGCAACCTTCAAATGCACAATGCAACAGCAAAGCTGTGTGTTTCTTTCTGAGATCGCTTTTTCCAAAAATTAGACAGTATTTCTCCGGGGAGTGCAGTAATAGACAGCGGCAGCGCCGTGATAAATGTCCGACAGGTCTGACAGTTTGTCGGACTTAGCAACAGTAACTAAGGGGGGCGTGGCAGCACGCTCACTCAATACTGAACCACTTTCAAATGTTGTCCCCATTAGTCACACAGACACAAAACATGGGGAAAATACAGAGGTTACCCTTTGATATTCATGTAGACCATTCTGATAAACTAGATGTGAATCTAAAACAGCTTGTATGATGTCCTGCACATGGGTTTGGACATTCTTCTTGAGGGATTTTATTTCAGATCAATAATTGGTTTTATTTGATTTAAACTGCATTTCTGCTATTCCCAGTGGACACACATGTTTGAAATAGCAGTTTGGCTTCAGATTTTGCTGCTGCTACCTCATGGTTGTATTATCTTAGCTGAATTCACCGTTAAATAGTGTAAAAGCATAACTCATGAGTTCTCTTTAATGCCATCAACAGTGTTGTAAACTCTGCCCCTGTTACTGTTTGTGCCTCCTCTGTAGAGGACGGTGAGAAGTTCTTAAAGTATTTTGTTGAAAAGATATTAAAGCATCAATCACTCCTGCTGGCTTACTTCTACCTTCACTTGAGTCCTTGCCCTCACCACACTGGTAAATTACTTTACCCCTATTACCATTAGGGATTTGGTCGGCAGTGTGTCCAGTACTAATCTCAAAGAAGATTTTGGAGCCACCGCCCCTTGGCTTCTTAGCATTGTGAACAAGTCTCTTGTATCTGGCGAGGTCCCGGACTATTTTAAACAGACCTCTATCCAGACTCTCCTTTAGAAACCTGGTTTGGATCCAACTCACCCCCATAACTACCGTCCCATATCCAAATGATCTTTTAGTTTAAAAAATAGTTGACAAATTCCAGTCTGTCTTTAGAAAGAACCACAGTATGGAGACAGCCATACTCATGAAACACATGACAACCTAGTGAGGGCGGGCTCTGGTAATCTCATTGTTCTCATTGTTCTGGACCTGAGTGCAGCCTTTGACAGAGTTGATCATACAGTTCTACTCAACAGACTCAGGAACTGGGTTGGCCTCAGTGAAACTGCTCTTACCTGGTTTTTAACTTAATTCTCAAACAGTATTTAAAGTCAGTTGTCTGTTCACAACTTCTTCTTCTTCCACTGCTCTCATGCAAAGTGGGCCCCTGCAGGGCTCAGTCCTTGGCCCTATTTGGTTCAGTTTGTATCTATTACCCCTTAGTCACGTTATTTGCTATTTCACCCCTGTGCCCTACCAGTGTTACACCGACAACTCCCAGTTGTAGCCCTGAAATTCTGACAATCTGGATTCTCTGCACAGCTTTTTTGCTGCCATCAAGGACTCGATGGCTTCCAACGTCCTGCAACTGAACACAGATAAGACTGTAATAGTGGTTATTGGTCCTTCTCTGAAGTTCTAAAATTATAATTTTGTAACAACAGGGACGACGAGAAATGCGGGTAATTTATGTTTAGCTGATCAGTTAAATAAGGTCAGTATCAGCACAGATGCAGAGCTATAGTACATTGAATCTTTATATCACTGCTTATTGTATATGTTAATTTCCCACAATTGTAAACCAGTAGTAAATAGTAAACTATGATATGAAATGTAAAATAAGTGTGAGTGCTTGCTAAAGTGATCAGTAGGGAGTTTATTACTTCATTTTTCTGCCATCTTTCTACCTTTAAGGACCCAAAATGTGCCATCCATAGCATGTTTGAGTTGGCTTTGTTGTCACTTTCACAGCAAATGAAACAGTCGAAACAGCAGGTCGTCCAAATGCAGCACAGAGTTAGGCAACCTATCATTCAGGATTATCTCAAATTAAATCTGACTGTGCACCCTTGTGGCCAAATATGCACTCTTCTCCCAAAGCCCAAAATAATATTGTATTATAAGTTTAATTAAAACATTCAAGACAACACATTATTGTAGATTTTCTTTGGCTGTACGTGTGTGCGTGCGTGCGTGCGTGCGTGCGTGCGTGCGTGCGTGCGTGTGCGTGTGTGTGTGTGTGCGTGTGTGTGTGTGCGTGTGCGTGTGTGTCTGTCTGTCTTTATGTAGAATGCCTGTTCAGGGCCTCACATTATGCCACACTGTCACTCTGCTTCCACACAAAGCCTAAGTGAAAGCCCTCTCCTGACATCTGGTGGCTAATAGAGGAAATACTGAATTTATGAACAGCCATGCCTCCCACATGCATTACATTCGATACCATCACTGTCAAGTTACTGTCTAGTGTGTAATTATTAACAACACAGATTCACTCTTTCTCTCTACAGATAGTGGACACTTTGTTCATCGGCCGCTACGTCCTGCTGGCAGTGGTGAGCGCAGTCTTTCTGGTGGCGTTCTTTATGCTCCTCCCCTTTCATTTTCTGGAGCCAGTCTATGCCAAGGCCTTAAGAACACACTAGAGCTGCCAAGGTCAGAGCTGGCACCGGCATCATATCGCTGATGCACACAGCTTAAGACAAGCAGAGATGACGAGAGGCCCCACCCCTTCACGTGGAATCAGAATACAGAATGCATCCCAAACAGAAACAGCAGGAGAGCCCGTGTTTTCTTTATGGCCAACTGTTTGCAGGTTGTTGACTGTTCATGTATAACTAACTGGAATGAGATATCCATCAGTACCCAGGTTGTTTTATTTATAATTTGTATCATTTAATACATGAGATGAATTTCCTTCACAACAGATGGTTTCTTATTTGATATGTGTAAAGCACTACAGCAATTCCTAGTCAACCAGCACTGAAACACCCCCTCTATCTTTAATAAAGAAATCTTACATTGCCAAACGAATTTGTTTTATTTGTATTACTCGATCACCATATAGTGTATGTTGATTCATGAAGTACTGTCAAGGTGAGGTAACAAGTTACAGTGTTCGTGACGAGTACAGGACACACTAATAAACACTTAATATTGTGGTTTTCTAATGCTAATTTGAATAATTCCAATAAAATATAATGAGAATTGGAGTTATGGATCCTGCTGTCATAGCTACAGCTTGACAGCAGGAGTGTCAGCAACATCACACATGAAAAAAAAATGGCATCCTATAACACACACACACCAAAGCTGTTGACGTACAGTGTTTGTATCACTGAACATGCGAAGTGACAGCTGGATTTTCTGGTTCCACAGATTTTTCTGTACCGAAATGCTAAAAACTGACTAACAAACACACATTTTGCAGTTGGTGCTGGGTTTAACTGATGTTTTAGAGGCACTTCCATTTAATTCAGTTGGAGTTCTTATTGGTTTTGGTCAAACAACCAGCCAAAACTACAGTGTATAGTTTGTCTGACATTGTCGTGCGGTTTCATTCTCACTAATGCCAACAAATGGGAATTTTAAAAAGTACCACAGAGGTTGTTTTTATTTTTACTTATACCTTAACTTGCTCATCTTGGTCTTCTGTATTTTAGCTTTAAATAATAGCCCATATGGCTCTAATTCATGTCAGGTGCCAGAAAAGCATTCTAATTCCACACATTCATTTTAATATCAATGTCATATGAATATTGAATATTGAATGGTAAAAAAGTAAAACAAAAATGAACTACTGATTAAACTACGAGAAGGCTCTGCCTCCAACTTCAACTCCAAAAACTATTGACCAGAAGTGAGCAAATCATGATTTATTTTAATCTGTGTGAAACTATCTGAGTGGATAAATAGCACTCTGGGGAAGAGGAAGAAGATGTTTTATTGTGTTTTGTGTTGGCCTATTCAATTAAATATTAAAGCTTGTGTGCTTTGCGGTTGGTCAACATGATTAGTACATTATTCATGTTTTAGGATTGTGATTGGTTCCTTCATCCTGTTGAAATATTTGCGGTTTCCTAACAACACGCATGTACTTTATAATGCAAAGCATGCCAGTCTTTTTAGCGCCACTCTCTGCAACAGTTAATCCTGTGTGTGCAACCATCTACATCAGTGTGGTTCATTACCGTCCCCTTGGTGAGGGGGGTGGTGTTTGGATGTTAATGCTCAATTTCTGGTGACAATCCAGTTTTACTGCATGGATTAGCCTTCAGTCCTCCAAACTTCACACACACACTTTTGTTTCATGTTCATGAAAAATAGTGGTGTCCATTTGAATATCCGATAACACTGCCAAAGGAAACCACTTCCTACAGTATGCAGGGAAATGTCTCTGTAAAGTCTGCATCTGTTAAATCTTGAGCACTCTTAGGAGAAATGTCTTTATCGACTTTTTAAAAATCTTGGTGTTTCGTTTGCATTCCTGTGAGGTTTACAAATGGATATCCTGGCACCTTTGCAGGTACATATTGCTGTTTGTATCTGAGGGGGTTGGAGCGGTAGCATGTTTTAAAGGAATAGTCCCACATTTTAGGAAATAGCTTCTTTGCTTTCCATGGTTAGATGAGAAGATTGATACCAGTCTCATTTACATGCGTGTAAAGTGTAAAGCTACCACCAGCAGAAGGGCTGAACGATTATTTTGACTGATATTGCAATTGGGACACAATTTGCGATATTAGAGGGTATAATCATTTTTAAATAATTATTTTGCATATATCATCTTTATTGAAAAACCTATTTAAATGATTCTGGTGTGATTTTTGAAAGGATCTGTTTTCTGAAGTCTGTAGAATATGATATGTGTAGGACATCTCTGCAGCGCACCAATATTTAATTTAAAATGGTATTTTGACACTCATTCAGCCTTTAACAAATATCGGACCTCCTGTGATTTGAAAATTGCAGTAGTCCATTATGTGATTTCAAAAAGATTTCAATTAACTGGTTACGGCCCAAACCAGTAACCGGCAGACGTAGCATAAACACTGGAAACAGGGAAACAGCTAGCCTGGCTCTGTCCAGACTAGGGCTGGACAATAAAACAATAACAATAATTATCACAATATATTTTTTTTCATTAACAATATAACAAATGTTCAATAAATATTCAATAAATGTTTGACTTTATTCACTTGAATCATACGAATACGAATTAGGACTTAATTTTTTATTAAGATGTTTATTTTGTTGAGGAAAAAGGACTGGAAAAAAAGCTTTTACTTAATTTTACTCATGCATGTTTGTTGAGAAATATTTAATCATAATTGTTTTGAATGTTCTACCTCAGATTTGAGAAGGGATCCACTGTTTGGCCTCAAGTGTTGACAAAAATCAGCCTTTAAACTCAAAAGAAATAACAATTTGATACCTATCGTGATCGCGAAAGATTTACTGTGATAACATTTTTGGCCATATCGTCCAGCCCTAGTCCAAATGTTATAAAATCCACCCAACAGTACCTCTAAAACTTACCAATCAACATGTTTTATCTTGTTTGTTTAGTCCATACAAAAACAAATTGTAAAAATGACATTCTGCCATTTTACAGGGGTTTAGAGCAGCTGGCAGTGAGCCGGCTGCTGGCTGTAGCTTTGTCTTTACTGTGCAGACATGAGAGTTGTAGCAATCTTACCATAAAAAAAAAGAGTATTTCCCAAAATGTCAAACTATTCCTTTAAGCTCTTGAAAAAACAAGTTGGTAGCTGGTTGTACTGATAGGAAGGTAAATCATTAGTTTATGTGTGTGCAGTGAGGATTGGGCAGGTACCTACTTCTACGTACTTCTATGTTCATAGAACATCTCCATTTCCTTCACAAAACAGATGTTGTACACTATGTAACCAGCAATTGCAGATTTATCTGTGACTGTGATCCGTGTATGATTGTGTTTTGCTATTCTACATTTTGGTTACACATTTTGCCAACCACTGAATCACGTTGTGTTGTCAGTGCTTTGACAAACAGTGCTGCATTCACATGGTTATGATGCTAATTCCATGGGGTATAAATAAGCAGATGATTCCATAAAGAGTAATGAGCTTTTGCCATCTAGAGGCTCAATTATAAACACTTGCCCCCCCCCCCTCCATTTTAAAAGTGTGAAGCCCGAGGAGACATGGAGTGGAATTCCAACCAGGATGATGAAAAAGAATCTAATGAATCAAAACCAATCCTATTAGTTCCAGCCCACATCGCCATACTGTGGCCCTTTTTCTGCACAATCCACAGCGTGATTTCACACAAGTTGGGAACTGGGGGATTTCAGCAGAGTGGGATGGGAGAGCTAAAACCTTTCAACCTGGAGGGACTTGTTGCCTGTAATTGACCGCATGATTACACAAAAAACATGATCTTAGCCCCCGCAGAAAGTGACACTGAGATACAAGCCGATTAAAGTGCTCTAAAAACTGAAGTCTGGCAAAGAGATTCCCTTTAACTTCAACAGAAACTTTTTGGTTCAACCACTTTGACTTATTGACAAAATGGCCTTTTTGAGGACATTCAGATGCAGTTTATGTTTCAAGGTCACAATGCAAAAGATGTTTACACCAATTTCTCGCTGTCTTGAAGTATGCAAACTCAAGGTCTTTGCAGTCCCTTAAGAGTGGGTCTAGAAGATCTGACAGTATTCCTTGGCTTACTCTCTCTAACTCACACAATCTCTCACTCTCTAACTCACCTTTTTAATCTTTCTCTCTCCCTCTATCCTGTCCTCATTTTAATATTTTCGACTAAACTCCGTCTCTGGGGAGTGGGAAAATGAGCAGAACAAAGCATGTGGGGGTTTGAGGATCATTTGGAACTGGGAGACAGAGTCTTTGTGGCCCAGCCAGCTGGACATATAAAGAGATGGGGGCGGGCGAGGTAGAGAAAGGGGGAGCAATGCAAGGGCAAAGAGGTGTGAGCAGAAAGCTCAGGGTGCTTGTTTTGAAACTGCGGAGGGGAAGGGGTGTGCTCCTCTCTGGTAGATCCTGCATTCAGATGCACTCAAGCAGAACTTCTGGCTTGCCGTTCACATCCTCAGCCATCTTGCCCTCTGTTTGTGATATGGATACCGTCACCGCCCCACCCAGTTCTCACAACACTGACAATCCATTAAGGATTTCTAGCAAAGTTGGTGCACTTATCCCAAAAGAATGTGATTCAGTTCATGTTAAATCAAGCAGATGGCAATGTTTGCCGTCCTTTCAAAACATTTGGTAAATTAAACTTGATGAGTGCTCCATGGGGTAAAACCAAAAATGAATGAGTTCATTTTAAATCCGTATATAGGCTTGGATTAAATAAGGGTTTATTTGCCAACAAGTGGATGTTTGGCAAAACTGAAGACATCAGAGTTCACTGGCTGGTCTTTCATTAAGCTGTGAAAGAGCTGGAGATTGAACATGAACATGAACCGTCGCCCCAGCAACAAACTATGCAGTTTTGGGGCCAAGAGAAGTTTTTTCTCAGCACTGCCTGGTCGTGCTCTATTATGCACTTTTGTATGTAGCCAAGGGATGCTATCATTGCAACACTAACTGGGGGGGGTGCAAAATCCTCAAACTGAGACCCTGGTGTTGCTTTGGCCTTTTACCTCTCTCTCAGGAGGGAATTACGCTAAAGCTCTGCCTCTCGGGGGGACGATGAAGGCCCAGATTAGAGGTCAGGTCGCTCACCAATAGCCCTCTGCAGCATGGACATGATACCCCATCGAGGGCCGAAGCTTGGCCCTATGGGGGGTTCCACTTTGACAGCGTTGAAGACTTTATTGAATATTTGCCAGGCTTAGAAAGGCAATGGCTACGCTGATCAAAGACAATGTTCACAATAGTTTAACATGGGTGGCCCCAGTGCTCCACAGAGCATGCACAGTTGTTGCATTGGCTCCACATGGCCTGTGTTTTAATATTTTAGCTTTTAAATTCACCTACCTTGAGGTACAGTTTGGCACAAAAGAGCGACGGCAAATATTAGATGGAAATGTAAATAGCTTTGAGGATGCTGGTCCTTCATCATTGTACCAACATCACTGAAGAATAGGTTCACAACTTTTCAAGTCTGTCTTACAACAACAGTCAGGTGCACATATGCATATGAACACTTGCTGTTATCATTCCTCCTGTACATACTGGAAATTAAGAGGCTGCATTCTACGTAAAAGTTAATGTCTATTTATTACTAAATTCCCTCTTAATGTTTTCCTGTTTGCTTGTTGAGCTGCAGTGACACAGTGACTTTGCAGATTTGATTTGTCTGACTCAGACTGCAGAAGCATATTCACTTGAGATACACTTTGAAATGTATTTTTGCACATAATAAAGTCTGTGGATGTGGCTCCCCATCACACAATAAAATGCAAGCTTAAATTTAAACTTTAATTCAATTCAATTTTACTGTTATCTCACAGCGCTTTTCATAAAAGAGCAGGTCTAGACCATACTCTGTGATGATATTTACAGAAACCCAACAATTCCCACAAAGAGCAAGCACTAGGCGACAGAGGCAAGGAAAAACTTCCTTTCAAGTTTTCCTTTCCTTTCTTTAAGTTGACGTGGCAAACCTGTTAGCAAGCAAACAGTTATTTAGACATCCAGCAGTTACAGAGCAGCTTAATTCTTCATTCGTTTTTTTGGCCACCTGATGAATTTAAGTCCAATTATTCACTCTGTGTTAGCTCTGTTTTCGGTCTCCAGCAACTGGCTCCGTGGCCACGAAATGTTCACCAGCTCACCTCTAACTGTGTCTGACTGCTGTTTGCTGCCAAGCTGGTTGTGTACAGTGTTCTTTTTTTTTTTTTGCTTTGCTGCTGAGAAAGATGCTATGAAAGCAGTGACAGTGAACCAAAACAGTAGTCGTGGGCCCGACAGCAAAACAATGAGCAATAAAACCCATAATGAAGCTCTGTAAAGCAGAGGGCCGCTGCAGATTCAGGGGATAATTCTCTGTAGGTTCATCACTACGAGTGACCCCTTTCACATTGATACATTGTGGCATAATTATTGATTATAGACGTAAAATATTAATAAATAGACTTGAAATGTGAACCTTTAAAGTCTAAGCCATCACCTGTTTCACATGACCCAACCAGTCCATTGTTGATTCTTAACATCCTGTATCATAGCTTCATGTTGCAGATTCCAGGAGGGCATGCACTTTTCTCACAGAAGACATTTAGACTTGTCAAGCACAGGTGTAATTATCACTGGTAATTCTTACATTGAATTTAGGTGTGCCGGGTCCTGTAGTAGGTAGTAGGTCCTGCACAGGTGTTAATAATAAAATGAGTGATGGCTTGATTCCATTTAGCTGCATCAGTTTCATGGTCGTGGTGTTGTTCATGGTGGCTCACTGTCACACTGTCATGGTTTCCTGCGACACGTGACCAGAACAGAGACATTTGTTATTAGTAACACCTGAGCTTTTCTGACTCCGACAACTTAAAATGTGGACTGTGTTAAAGGCCTGTTGTGTGTGTGCTGTCTTACTGACATGGCTTTCTAATGCACCTACACAGAGCACAACCATCATTATTGTTATTAGTTGTTCCTGTGCTTTCCCTGCTATTATGAGTGAAATTGCCTGCTGTGTGAAAGGTCTGTTGCAGACAGACTGCAGTGAGCAATGAATAAACAGCACTTCACAGCATCAGTACCTAGAGGCATTTCATTGTCATGGTAAAAATAAATAAAGAATTCTATCTCTCTTTAAACAATGCATTTTTATTAGGCAACACATCATTTTAATGGATGCTGTAGCCTATGTTAATAATTTGTCAAGCAGTTCAAGTACAATTTCAGGCAATAGCAATTAGGTGTAACAGCTAGTTTTTATCAGCATATTTTCAATATGTTTATTTATGTTATTTCATGTAAGATACATTTTAGTTTTGCAACTTTTCTAGTAGGATGGACTTCATTAAGTTTGGAGTTACAGCAGCTTATGTTAATTGAGCAAACACTAACTCATACACAGTATGCAGCTGTGTTGCGCACTATGACACAAGAGATGATCACTGATTGACTGGTCCTCCACATGAGTGGTCTGCTTCTTTCATGGTTGCATGAAAGTACTGTTAACAAAGTTGTTTTGGTCAAACACTGTTTGATTTCACAGGGTACTTCACAGGTCTCATTTAACTGAAGTGGATTATATTATTTATGTGTGTTAATCATCTACTTCATTAGAGTTTGTTAAGTTTATTCATTTCAGCTCTATCCACTGTTCAAACAGCCTTCCATCAAACATGACACAGTTTCTGTGGTTTGCAAATACTGGAAGGAAGGTCAATCATAATCTTGTTTTTTGGTGTCAGTTGCTATAATGTCTGTAATTGATGCGACAGAAAAAAAATTGCAAAAGCCTCAAACCATATACAGTACTTTGTCTGAAACTCCATTTGTTTTTGTTTACAGGCAGATAAAAGGCAGACCAAATCAAAAGTGTAATCTTTGTACACTCCGGGAGTCCACTCAAAGCAGACAAAGTGACTGTGTTTGAAAATTAAAGCAGAACATTCTGACAAGGTTGACTAGATACTTTTGTTAGCCTCTTACGGGCGAGCCAAGATGATGTATGTGACTCATACTGTGCAGACAGGCAGCTACAAATTTGCTTGGCTAGTTGACTGGTGGGAGGTTGCTTGGTGAGTGGGGGTGGGCTTCAGTTGTCACATTAAAGCAACGCCGTGAAAGAGAGAAAAGCCTTTGTACCCGTTTTTTCTTTTTTGAAGTTGTTGTTTGTCAAAAGAAACAAATTTCTTCTGGTCCAATAATTTACATGAGCATGTGAACTCAAAATGAAAATTGTACTTTGGAGCATTAATAAATGTTCTTCTCTCTGACAAACTGAAAATACCCCAGACTAACTTTACATTTTTTCTTTTGCACCAATTTTTTTAGATATAATTTGTTCATTTTAGGTGAAATAGTTTTCAGACTGATCAAAGCAGAAATTTAATCTTCATTTAAAAACTGTTCTCCTGCATTTGATCAGTCACATGGTAGGCTTTTGATTAATGGAACTGATCTGACTTGGGAAAACAGGCCTCTCTGTGTTACCTCCCCCTTTATTTCAACCACTTCTTGCCTCCCTCCTCCCCTAGACTCGGCCTTGTTTTCTGCCCCCCTTATCCCATGCAGAATGAATGGCACAGATGTTGTTGGACAAGACAGTACCCCTTGGTCCCCTTCCCCTCACTACTCGCTCAGCATGAGGTCCGAAACTTGTTTTTTGATCATTGTTCCCCCCCCAACTTCTCCCTCCTCGGGGGAAAAAAGGGACCCAAAGAAGAGGGAGATGGGGAGACCAAGAGCAGCCTAATTACGCAGGGAGGGAAGAGGAGCACACCACCATGTTTAAGGAATATGAAGAAAACATACTGTTTAACTATCTCCAAGTAACAAGTGGTTCGTAGAACAGGTCACATGTTGTATGTTGGTGGAGCACCACAGTAGGGAGTTCAGAATTTGCTGAGGGTATGGATGATACAGTGGAGCTGCAGTAGAGGTTCGGGTTTTGCATCCAGGAAGTGTTGACTGAATATGCGGGTCGGTGCGTGGCTTCTCTGGGTGTCCTGGTTCTACACCTGGGCAGAGTACTCACAGAGGTGCAAGTGCCATGACATCTGTCCAACAGAGCCAGGATTGGACAAGAGGTCAAAGAGCGGGGTCAAGGAGCATGCTCGTCACGGTGTCGGACACCAGCACACGCCTCACAGGAACAGGCCACACCGCAGAAAAGGTGAGCCCTTAAACCACACAATCTTTCAGACTGGAGGCACGCACCACTGAAGTGCTGCAACCTGCCGCAGATGAACTGTTGTATTGTCGTGCAAGGTCTGTGCATTTAGATGTAAAAATGCAATACTATGTAGCTAGCTATGATCAGCTGCCAAACTGAGTAATTTGGTTATTTTAAAATATAAATAAATCTAAAATAAATCAAATAGGGTTTTAACTCTTCTGTTTTGTTGGCATTAACATTAGTTCCTCCTTATTTGGTGCCCCACAGACCCCACAACTGTATATGTAATAATAATAATAGTTATTGCAAACTTAACATTTTTTTCCTTTAAAATATTTTTTCAGGTTATATATATCAACTATATATTCCTTTTGGTCGTCAAAACGGTTCTTGGTGTGAATGCTGGTTCACATATGTTATCTTACATAGTGGCTTTAAGATGTGTGGGGGTAGTTAGACCCCAGAGAGGTCAAACTCCCGGTTATACAAACTTAGAGATTTGGAAGCTGTAGTGCTGTGTAAAACGTACTGCCAATCTTTTTCACAGATATAGAACATACTAATGGAAATCCGTTGTATGTAATGTTTTATAGCTGGGGTCCCTAAGACCTCCAACAGAACTAATGGAATGTCGTCTGTAGTCGATTTCTGAAGCATCAGTTTAAAATCATGTTTACGTAATTTGCATATAATTAGAAAAAGTTGAAGTATGTTTTTTGAGTTGTTATTGTTATTATCAAGTTCCAAACACTACGTTAGGGTTACACTGTATTTGAGGAAAATATATTTTAAGTTGTGTTAAAGATTTCACAGTTAAATGTTTAAATGTTATTTTGGTGCCATGGGGAAACCATCTGCTTAAAGCTGCACTGTGAGAATCATAATCATGCTCTGAGTGTGTGTGAAATGGGAAAAAGTGTTATTACAACACTGTTCTGCTCACTTCTAAAGGTTTAATTGCGAAAAACAATGTAATGTGCAACTGTGTAGACAGTTAGGGTCAGGGGTTAAGGCTAGAGTACTATATACATGATAATATTTTATTCAACAAATTGGTAAGGACTATGAAAAGTGATGAAATGCATGTATTGTGTCTGAAAGAAAACCTTATTGCATACATTTGGCTTCATCCTCACTTCAATTGGGTCGAGTCACAAGAAATACAGGCGCAGTGTGTAACAATCCAGAATACAATTTTTGTTTAAACTAGCTTAAAGCGGTCATTCATGTTGACAGTGATTGTTAATTCCTTTACAAAACACACTTGAATTACACTCAGAAATCACTCTGAAGTCACTTTTTATCACATTCCTCACTATAGCTGACACATTCTTTCTTTTTCTTATTCCGTCCCGCCCTCATTTGCCCATTCCAATACTTCTCCTGACCTTTGGTCTACAGCCTGAAAGAGGTTCCTTCTCTGGGCACATCTCAGCCCACCACCATTCCCATGGGCTGTGTTTAGCCGGGACTCATCCTTCATCCTCTCTAAACCTTTTGTTGCAGACTGAAAGCTGGCCGATGCCGGGGCCATCAAGCCCAAGTTGTTGGATCAATATAAACATCCATCACTTAGCCTGGGGCCTTTCTGAGCCTTACAATGAACAGCCCACTAAACAATACTTTATTTATGTGAGCCATTGGAAGGAATGAACTAGTGGTAGTTCACTTATTTCTGGGTCACCCTTGCCGTACCGCTATGGAACTTGAAAGTAACTCAGCATGTGTGTTAAGTGTTTTTATCCATCCCAAAGTTACATTCGAGCTAAATTGCATTACTTTTTATACTGTATACCTTAACATTATAGTAAGTAGAGGTGAACATTGTCACCTCAGATATCAGATATCAGCGGAACTGCAACTTTAGAAAGCCACCAATTACATTTTGGAAAGAGAAAGTAAAATGTCATTGTGAAGAGTTTGTACTTATTTTTCCGCAAGATCTTGTAAGAGATTTGCGATCAGTTTACATTTCTTGCAACTTTAAGTAGCACCTTCATTTGCTTTGTACATTGCATTGTGGGACAAAAGTGTCCATCAACTGCACAATACTGACTTTTTTGAGTGTACTCCTTTTTCCAGTGTGAACACACTACATGCTTACAACTACAATCCTTTTATAAATTAGTCTGTATTATGGAATTGGGACATAAAGTCAATATTTTTATCTCTAATTCAGTGATTTCAGATTTTTGTGATGAGCCAAGTGAAGAAAAAAATGTTTTATGTATCATTCAGCTAATGTGAAGTATTCAAAACCACTAGAGACCAACCCTCAATACAAACAGCTTTCTTACAGTTAAATACTTTGTGGACAGCATGAATGACAGATACATAATTTCCTTCTATTGTTTAGAAGCATGGGAGACTCTGAACTTCCTGCCTCCTAGCAGTGTTGACAGAGCTGCTGCCACAAACAGTGAAAAACAAACTAAAAAACAGCCAGTGGCTAATGTTTAGACAGCAAAAACGAACACATCCACTACAGCCATGTGTATCTAACTTGATAACTTGAAAAAATATGCAATACTGTGCCACACTGACTCCTCAGTGAGATTCTGCTAATTCACCAGCAGAGTTTGTTGGTACATTTGATAAGCAAGTGATAAGGAGATTACCATGGTCACCAGGAAATCTAAAATGATAATGTCAGTGATTTTTGGCAACATAACAAAACATTTTTCAAGTGAGGCAAAGATGACTGGGATCGTCACTGATTAAAGTAATTTAGTGTTGTACTATTTGGCCTTGGGCTCCTCTAAAAATAGCTTATTTTAACACAGATTATATAAATATAGCCTACAAAAATTAAGTTAAACAAAGTTGCCAGTATGGCAAAAGCTCAAAGCCTTCCCTGCTTTCCCTGCAGTCCCTCACAGGCAGGACCCTCCCCGCTATCATTTCAGTAGATGTGTGAAAAATCTGAGTGAACAATCCAAAATCATAGAAAACTAAAGTAAATTTTCCTGGGAGGTTTGGGTTTTCCGTGTTTTGTTTGGACTAAATTTAGCTTCATATTGAATAATAAGCACATATTCATTTATTTATCCCCAACATCTTGTAAAGAAAACAGCAGACTATGTGACGTCACCTATCAATAAAAATACATTTATTTTATAGATAGATGAAAAATATATGAATAATGTTTCATTCTCCCAGGTTCCAGATGTTGTTCATCAACATCTGATCACAGACAGAATGACTACTTGCTACTGAAATAACGGCTGAGCATTAATGCGACTGCGTCTGTCAAGTCTGGGAGAGAAAGCTAGAACAATGCCGGAAGCTGGAGGCACTCTCTTCAAATAAAATCTAGAGAAATCTTTGCGAAAATGAAAACAAAAACATTAACACAACTGTAAGTATGTCGTGTGAAAAACACATATCAAATACTAGGTTATTCATATACATATATATGCTATATTATGCGTCGGGTGCACTACAGTTGAGTGTGCTGCGTTTGTCAAAATGTGCTTTATTTTGAAAACCCATCTGACAGGAAGCTAAATGTCACTACGCTAGCTTGACCTGCGGTCAGAGAGTTGGCGTTGATATTCATTACAGGAAGGTACATGAAGTAAAGTTAGCACTTAAATATTAAATGTTGTAGTTTACACCACCAAGAAAAGAGAAACCGGTTGATGAAAGCTAGACATTCAGTTAAATTTACGCGTACAACGTTTAGTTTGTTACGTTATTGTTAGTTATTTAACTGTTGGTTCTGGAAAGGAGCGCATCTCTGTGCTTCGCTGTTAATGATGATGACCACAAGTGTTCTCATGAGCATAGTGTTGTCAGTGACTGGAGTTCTTCTTTCAGGTAAGTACATTTGATTTTTGGAATCATTCTTTTGAATCTCTTAACTTCTAGCGCTGAAACATTTTCAAAGCCTGTATATCGTAAACATGCCATGATACAGCAGGCCTGTAAGAGTCTGACTGGCGTGCTTAAAATGTGTTAGATTTAGATCCCAGAACTAAAAAGGTATGAACATTCTTGCCTGCATAATACACACTATTAAGGCTATAGTTATATGGATGGCTTTTGTCTGCAATGGTGTTAAACGTGCCACTTAAAAAGTTTTGCCTAAATTACCTGCTCAGTCTCTTTTTTGAATTGTAGCAGGTAGTAGGCATGGCTTAAATGTACTAATAAAAATGAGAAATACCTCGCAGCTGAAGTTAGCTGGTGTTGCTGCATATATCCCAACACAACAGTTTCACACTTACTGTAGGCCTAAGGTATCTGTCCAGTTAAAATAATGTAATACTTAATTATGCCCCACTAGATAAAATCTTTTCTACTTTTTTTATTATTTATTCATCTGCTGATTACCTTCTCAATTAACTAATTAATTGTTTGGTGTATAAAAGGTCAAAAAATAGTGAAAATGGCCATCACGACTTCCCAGAGCCCAAGTTGTCATATTTATATTAGGCTACTTATGTTGTCTGTCATTCCAAAACCCAGATATATTCATAGATGTTTACTTAAAAACCCACACATGAGAATCTGCAACAAGTGAGATTTTAAATAAATAATTAAAGACCAAATTTGTAGCCAGTTATTTTTCTGTTGATCTACTGGTCTAATCAACTAAATGACCTTTCGTTTCAGCTCTACCCTCAACACGAGGTCTCTGTGTTTTGCTCAGTGACACTTCAGCAGGTTGTAGGGGGGGTTGAGTCTGAGCTGTGTAGTGTGCTTGGAGCCCGCCTTGCTTTCCCACACATTTCTGAATACTTGTTGTGTGTAAGTTCTTTGAGACACATTGAAGCATCCTCACCACAACCTTCCTCCTGAGACAATAGCTTTAAGGAATGCACTAAGCCCTATGAATATTTTGACCAGAATGCACTGCAGTTTTGGCTGCATCCTCTTTTCACTCTTTAATCAGTGATAATGAGGTTTAACAGACTATTGTTACCTGTTATTTGAAGGCTTTTCCGGCTATAGTGAATAAATTCACAGCTCAATAACCCTTTTTGTTGAATGTTCCTGCCCCTTTAAGGCAGCCAAAAATATTTGGCTATATTAGGATTATATTCATTTCAGGTATGAAATAATACAGCCCTTTTCCGATGATGTTTAATTTTTACAGGAGGATCTAGCCTTGCCTAGTTCTGAATTACACAGGCCATGTAGTTTATATTTTTATAACTTTTTTGTGTGTGTGTTTCTAAACAGGAAGCAGCATCTGTGAGGGGTCAACTAGTTCCTCCCAAATCCTTTAACCGTAGTGCCTTTTTGACATGGAGTGATTGCAACTTCATTTTTAAAATTTTTCTTTCTTTGTCTGCAAACCAGTCAAAAAAGTCAATGGTAATATTCATCTCGAAGAGTGGCTTTTGTTCATCTGTGGATGGGAGAGTTCCAGTCCGCTTTTGTTAAGGTTGATGTTCCACAGACCCTTGAACTTCCTCTCCTGTCAGGAAGCTGAGCATAGTCTTCCCATTTCCTTCAATGTGGTCATCCAACTCCACGGGAAGTTCAAACAATGGCATTCCTCTGCTGCTGGCTACAAATAGACATTGTTTGTTGGTAGTGCGGTTTGTCGTTGGTGTTCTGTTGCCGGTTAAATTAGCTCAGAGGTGGCGATGCGTAGTGCTAGGTGTTGCTGTTTGGCTGTGGCTCTTCTATACAGAAAGAAATTAGTATTTACGTTGTAGGCTTTTTTTCCCGCAAAAGAATGAGCTTGAGGATATTACCTAAATGAGTTGTTCTCAAACTATGTCACGTCAAGGACCCCTAAACTGACACGAATTAGACCCCAGGCCCCCATTCGATACACTTTTGTCCCAGTGTCGCCCCTATGAAAGGATTTTCGCTTTTTTAATATAGAAAGTGTATGAAACCTATGACCCAAATAGTCATATATTCTGTTATTGTGTAACTTATGGATGAAATTATAGTGAAAATATATAATTCCTCTTTTAATGGGGACCCCTTGAAACACTCGCAAGGACACCTGGGGATCCCCGAACCCCACTTTTAGAACCACTGACTTAAATCACCCAACAGTGCATTTGCTTGATTGGTATCAGTGCCAATACAGATCTTTTCAAGCGTATTGGATCTGTGCATCACCACAAAACTTATGGACAATATTTTTGGGATCATAATATAATCTTAATATAATATATAATATAATACTTCATCCAAGGCAGGTTTATTGTGCTGCAGTTGTTTTTCAGCTTTTCTAAATGGGATTAAACAGATCTACAACATGCTGCTACTAAATATGCTTGGATGCTCGTTACAGTGTCTACACATCTCTGTGTCCCCCTCAGGTTCCAGAGTTCATGCAGAGGAGATCCCGCCCCGCATCGTCCACCACCCGTCTGACGTGGTGGTGAAAGTCGGGAATCCCGCCACGCTCTCCTGCCGGGCGGATGGCAGCCCTAAGCTGACCATCGAGTGGCTGCGAAATGGCCAGCCTCTGGAGACGGCAAAGGGAGACGGACAGCTGCAGCCCATGGTTTTGCCCGAGGGGAGCCTCTTCTTCCTGAGTGTGGGAGGGGGCAGGCGAGGTCAGTCGCATGAGGGTGTCTACGCCTGTGTGGCCAGGAACGGTGCAGGCGTGGCCACCAGCCGTAATGCATCACTGTATATTGCAGGTAAGACAGGGGGATCCTCCTGGAGTATGTTTTACCATCGAAGACTTTGAAATGACCTGCTGACATGAGCATTTAGGAAAGGAATCTCTAAGACACAGTAAAGCATTAATAACAAGAATGTTTAATTGAACTAATTATTTGTTATTGTGTCATGCACATACAAGTGGCCAGCCCCAGAAATAGCAACACATCCTTATACTTAAACAACAAAATAGGTCAATTGTCATGAGTCCCAAAACGACATATGAGATCGTTTTCTAAAATGACATGTACAAGCTTTAGTAAGTATCAGTCCAGCGACAGGCGTATAACTGCATTACGTAGGTCACGTGACCGAAGTCACATGATATTTAACATGTGGTAAACGTAGCAAAACAGTGGCACAAGGACATTTATTTATCTTTATGTAACATAAGGTTGTGTAACAAAAAGAAAGTTTGTGGTCTCTTCATGCGTCACACACAGAACTTAACAGATTATTAATTAAAATTTGGAAACATATAAGATGAATAAAATAAAATAACAAAACATATTCTACAGTTATATTATATATACATACATACACGGATTTACCTCGAACGTTCCGCGAGGCACTTTTTGTATTTGCGTCTGGGTAGAATGTAAACAGCAGCAACAAGATGAGAAAATGGTTTCATTTTCACATGCATCTACATCTGCTGCATCTACATGCGCTGTCGGTTGCCAAGGTAGGTAGTTTGGTTAGGTTCAGGTAACAAAACTGTTTGGTTAGGGTTTGTGTTCAAATGGTTAAAATAACCACGTAAGTCACATGTCATCAGTCATCTATAAAACCTCATTTAACTTGATATTCTTCCACACAGGACTCAAACCTCATTCTCCTGAGTGAAAGTCCTGAGTTTCCACCACCTCTTTCCACGGACTTTGTCGCTCTTTATACTAGAGGTCGCAGCTTAACAAAAAACGTAAATGTGGGTCGTAATAAGTTATCTAATTATCGACCCATACGGCTGTTTTTCTGGGGAGAACGAGCTGTTGATCCATCTCACATTAACGTCTAATGCCAAAACTGGTATAAGCTTATGAACTCCCAGAAAGAACGAAAAATTTAATTACTTTGTAATGAACTGTGTTATAATTCACATGTTTATGGAACCTGCAAAAAGGACACACCCAAGGCTTCTACGGTGGTGTATTAGTGCATTATCACAGATTCACCGATCTTATGGGTCTACCTGCTGAATAAAACATTAATACATACATCATAAATAGCCTAGTGTCATTGGTCTGCATATGACAGCACTGTTAAACTAAACGTGAGATGCTTTTGTTCTTTGATCTTGGTGTCCCTCTTGTCTCTAGCTTGACTTCTAGCTACATTCAACCACAGCATTTAAGCACATTCTGCCAAATGTTTTTCAAAATTAGCTTTGAAGAATATCATCTGCTTAAAGTGATATACTAACAATTAGCAGATTTTATTTGAAGAGCTACATCATTAACATAAATAGAAAACTATTGGTGAAGACACAGTTTGTTGCTGCCCACCAAATTGTTGAGGAAACCATCTCGTTCTAAAGTCACCATTATCAGGTGCTCAATGAAGAGAGTAAATGGCAGTATAACATCTATAGATTACTGCTACAAGTGAAGTAAATCATCTGTATTGAAAAAGGCCCCCTGTACCCAAAGAAACAGCATCTGAAAATCCATCAAGGTTTATTTTTCTTGATTCTTGCTCTAATATCTGTATTTACTATATGTGGTCAATTCATGCTCTTCTGTTCTAAAGCCAGGAATTTTTCAGCTATTTCCTCCAACACTTACACAAACAAGAAAGATGAATCCTGAAAAACTCTTTTAGAGCAGAGGGTTGGGGAGATGAAGGCATAGTCCCCCCCCCCACACACACACAGACACACAAACATGCAGAGAGCTGATGAAGATGGATGTGGTGACAGAGACAGGAGGGGTACAGGGCTCCAGTGTTAATGTTTGCTGGTCAGGAGGGGGTCAAACAGTGGTGCTAATTGACCTCAGAGCCTCACTGTTTACCTATCTGGATCCCAGTGATGCGGTCAATGTGCAGAGGCTTCCTGTCTTGGAGTCTTTACAGGATGAAAACTTGAATTCAGTCCTTTGACTGGTGCACAGAGAATAACTTTCTGTCACTGATCATATACTAAAACATCTCTTTCCATCATATCAGTCTAATGCAAACATCAGGTAGATGCTCTGTGATGAACTGGCGACCTGCCCGGGGTTTTCCCCGCCTCTTGCCCAGCGTCAGCTTTACCATAAGTGAATAAAGTGTTTGCTGTTATTACCTGTTTTCTGATGTAGAGAAAAATAATGTGCTGTTTCACTTTAATGATTCCTGCCAGGTTTTAAAGGCTGGTTTACTGCCTGCCTTGGTATCTGGTAATGAGTGAAGCCAATAAACCACAGTGATGTTTGGTTAGGAATGTGGCACTTGAGCCTGCTGCATGCGTGTCTACATGTACTGTCAGAAAAGTGTACCATATAAATTGTAAATGTACAAATTGGGAGTTTTACTAGTTTTTTGGTAAAGTGTTATTGATTTGACTTTCAAGACCAGGACCACACAGGGCTCATTCAGGATTTTTCCTAAATGTTTTTCCAGAACTTATCAGAATCAAAATATAAAAACAAAGTGCTGAAGCGGTAACTCACAAACTGTGAGGAAAGACAGTATTTGTGAAAAATGTATTGCATTAAAGACTTCACAATTCCAAATGTTTAAATGTTCTTTTGATGCTATAGGTAACAAAGAAAACTCCCGCACACTGTCTAACTGGCAAAAAATTGTATTGACACAACGTTTCGGTGCTAGACCTTCATCAGGCAAATGGCTTTACTAAGTGAGAAGCCATCTTTGTAGGAGGTGACTTTGTTTGTATACACCCATCACCTACTTCCTCGTCAAGTAAGGCAACCATTGCAAAAACATTCATTCATATTGATTATATCAATTATAATCATGCTCTGACTTTGTGTAAAATGGAAAAAATAATGTTTAATTGCAAAAAACAATGCAACATGCAGCTGTGCAAGACAGTTGGAGTATTGAATATAATATTTTCTTCTTCAGAGATGGTTTATATCTCTAGTTTATTTTTTATAAACTATTGCATACATAAAGATTTGCTCATTAAGTTCTCATGTGCTGTTTGTGTGGACTAATTGAGTCTAACCCCAACTCTGTTGTAGTGCTGCAGGAGGAGTTCAGTGTGCAGCCCAGTGATGTGGAGGTGGCAGACGGGGAGGTGGCTGTCTTGAACTGTGGCCCCCCAGTGGGACACCCTAAACCTAATGTCATCTGGAAGAAGGATGGCTTTCCCATTAACAGCACTGATCGTCACTACACTGTAAGCACCTCATCATGATTGTGATGACAGTTGTACAAACTTTACAATGTGTTTACATTTTTGAGAGTACTGTAATAGAAGTATTACTTCATTATCACCTCATATAAAAAATAATCAGTTAGTAAACCATAATCATTAAATAAATCTTTAAAATGCCCTTCCTAAACTAAAAAAATAACAAACAAACAAAATGGTTTCTATTTTCATCCTTGCAAAAGTGCTGCAGAGCATCCTTCATGCTCATGGTGGTCATTACTTAAGGCTTCAACAGCAAAATACATTCTATCAGTGACGCAGAGAAAACAGAAAACTGTTTTTCAACTGACTGCTCCCTTTCTGCACCAGGTGCAAATATTGCCCAAGCATTTTATCTTTTTTTTGTCAATATCCTGTCTGAAAGTCATTTGGAACATTTATGTAACAGACACCTCACTTTAGCAGATAAATAAAGTCAGCAGGGTATACAGGTGCTGGTCATATAATTAGAATATCATGAAAAAGTTGATTTATTTCAGTAATTCCATTCAAAAAGTGAAACTTGGATATTATAGGTTCATAGGTTCATAGGTAGCTTTATTGTCACACATGCACAAGTACACAGTGAAATTTGTTTCTATTGGAGCAAGCCTCCGGGCCGCAGCTATATTCAGCGCCACCACTCGCTTTCCAGAAAAGAATTAATGCAGACAGCAACATAGTATACATGACGTAACAACATACAATACATAATAATACACAAGACAACAAGTCGTTTTCCCGCTCAGGTGGAGGAGGGAGGGGGCACTAAGACAATAATTTTTAATCCAATTTAGGTTGATTCGGTAACATTTATCCGGATCAGTGTCCTTCAATCGCTCTCATCCTCAGCGTCATACATGCATCCAGTTCATGTAGTGAGTTCGACATTTCTTCTAATTTCATTGTCAGACCAGTGGTTACTCTCAGCAGCTCACCAGACTGCGCCCCGATGGTGTCGATCCTCCTCTGCGCTTCCACAGACTGGTCTGAGATGTTACGAAACAGTTCACCAGCTTTTGGGTAAATTTACTGGCGGCTGTCTTACCAATTTTACGATATATTACGGAGATTCCAAGCCCGATAATCAGGAAGCCCACTAACAAAATTCCAACTATCCATAAATCCTCAAAGTCCCCCACAGATAAAACATCCAAGCAAACCGTTTACCAGGTCTCCCACAAGTCACGAGCGTAGCCTGCAGCGAATGTTCCACTGGGACAGTTCAGCTCACCGGGTGAAGCACGTTTCTGGGTGAAAAACTTGTCAATAGCGCTGAGTGACCAGTTGATTAATTCCATTTTGATGGTTTCAGGAGAACAGCAGGCAGGTGGTCAAAAGAGAAAAGTTTCCACACGACCAAAGTAGACAGAAAATAGGAGCAAGCCAAGATAAGAGGGGAGAGTAGGAAAAGCACAACTGCTCTCTACTGTAGCAGGAAGAGGTCTGTGTGTAATATTCATTCATTACACACAGACTGTGTGTATATATATATTTCAAATGTTTATTTCATTTAATTGTGATGATTCAAACTCACAACTAATGAAAATCCCAAATTCAGCATCTCCAAAAATTTGAATATTACTTAAGACCAATAAAAAAAAATAGGATTTTTAGAAATGTTGCCAACTGAAAAGTATGAGCATGTACAGCACTCAATACTTAGTTGGGGCTCCTTTTGCCTGAATTACTGCAGCAATGCGGCGTGGCATGGAGTCCATCAGTCTGTGGCACTGCTCAGGTGTTATGAGAGCCCAGGTTGCTCTGATAGTGGCCTTCAGCTCTTCTGCATTGTTGGTTCTGGCGTATCGCATCTTCCTCTTCACAATATCCCGTAGATTTTCTATAGGGTTAAGGTCAGGCCAGTTTGCTGGCCAATTAAGAACAGGGATACCATGGTCCTTAAACCAGGTACTGGTAGCTTTGGCACTGTGTGCAGGTGCCAAGTCCTGTTGGAAAACGAAATCTGCATCTCCATAAAGTTGGTCAGCAGCAGGAAGCATGAAGTGCTCTAAAACTTCCTGGTAGACGGCTGCGTTGACCTTGGACCTCAGAAAACACAGTGGACCAACACCAGCAGATGACATGGCACCCCAAACCATCACTGACTGTGGAAACTTTACACTGGACTTCAAGCAACGTGGATTCTGTGCCTCTCCTCTCTTCCTTCAGACTCTGGGACCTTGATTTCCAAAGGAAATGCAAAATTTACTTTGATCAGAGAACATAACTTTGGACCACTCAGCAGCAGTCCAGTCCTTTTTGTCTTTAGCCCAGACGAGACGCTTCTGACGCTGTGTCTTGTTCAAGAGTGGCTTGACACAAGGAATGCGACAACTGAAACCCATGTCTTGCATACGTCTGTGCGTGGTGGTTCTTGAAGCACTGACTCCAGCTGCAGTCCACTCTTTGTGAATCTCCCCCACATTTTTGAATGGGTTTTGTTTCACAATCCTCTCCAGGGTGCGGTTATCCCTATTGCTTGTACACTTCTTTCTACCACATCTTTTCCTTCCCTTCGCCTCTCTATTAATGTGCTTGGACAGAGAGCTCTGTGAACAGCCAGCCTCTTTAGCAATGACCTTTTGTGTCTTGCCCTCCTTGTGCAAGGTGTCAGTGGTCGTCTTTTGGACAGCTGTCAAGTCAGCAGTCTTCCCCATGATTGTGTAGCCTACAGAACTAGACTGAGAGACCATTTAAAGGCATTTGCAGGTGTTTTGAGTTAATTAGCTGATTAGAGTGTGGCACCAGGTGTCTTCAGTATTGAACCTTTTCACAATATTCTAATTTTCATTTCATTCTAAATTTCATTAGTTGTCAGTTATAATCATCAAAATTAAAAGGAATGAACACTTGAAATATATCAGTCTGTGTGGAATGAATGTATACATTTTACAAGTTTCACTTTTTAAATGGAATTACTAAAATAAATCAACTTTTTCATGATATTCTAATGATATGACCAGCAACTGTATGCTCCATGTCTTTTGTTAGTGTGTTGTTGTTGTTAGTGTGTAGTGTAGTGTGTGTTAGAGTGTTGTGTTGTTATGTTGAATTCAAAAGATCAAGCATGATGTCCAATCAGAAATATACAGACATTAGTAAAGAACTTCAGCTTTTGTCTTGATCAGAACATACGTTTTTGTTGCAGTTAGATAAGTCTTTGTGTATTTAAATAACGTATATTTGCGTGATGAAAAATTCTTAATAAAAGCTAGGTACATTTTCTGTCTATGACATAATAAATATTTCTACACATTGCTCTTGATATAGTGTTAGACAAAGTGTCCCTAGTTCAGTGGCTTCTAAACATGACAGGCATAAATATTCAGCAGCAGAACACAGGCATGTGGGAGGACTACTATGACACCTGATCATGAATCTTTAAAATTTACCACAAAGCTGTTTGATATTTTAAGTGTCAGAATAGATTTCTTTCTTAAATAAATGACTGAGACATGAGTTTATATTGAACAGAAGAAGATCCAGTACGTTATTTTACACTGAGTGCTTAAGGCCATACACACACCATATTTGAAGTGAACATTTTTAATATACTCCTCACTGAACTGTTGATCCTGTGTGTTTCCTCCCTCCTCTCTGCGCCGTGCTCGTGCTGTAGGAGCTGAGTGGGAAGCTTCTCATCGATCCTGCAGAGAAGCACCACTCTGGCGCTTATGTGTGTGTGGCCAGCAACACTGTGGGAGTCAGAGAGAGCAGGGCGGCTCGGCTCTCTGTGCTGGGTGAGACAACATACCCACGGCTACTTCTTACTACTTTAACAATATGTGTTTTGAAATTAGCCTGTTTTTCACCTGACAAGCAAAACATCCCCCTCTACAAAAGTACACCCAGGTACCACACAGTACAGTAAGTTCCTCTTCTCTTCTACTGCAGCCAAGCCTGTGTTGGTGCTGAAGCCAGAGAATGTGTCTGTGAGAGTCGGGGAGTCTGCACAGTTCTACTGCCAAGCTAAAGGTGACCCCCCACCTGCTGTGGTCTGGAGCAGAGAGCAGGGGCCACTGCCCAACGGCAGGTACTTTGTTATGGCAAGACACAGGAACACAGACTCCATTCATGAAGTGAATTTAACACTGATCAATGTTGTTTTATAGAATATATATTTGCATTTAGATTACTGTAACATGTCAATTTTTCAATCATCTCATTTCATATCGCCATGCATATATTAAAGGTATTTTGCTTTAGCTTGTCACTAAGCTGCCAGAAAATTTCCACGGGGCTCATTTCTTTCTTGACATTCTTTGTTTGAAATGAAACTAATTAAAAATGTCTGCTAAGTACTCCCAGAAATGCTCAGGTGTTATAAAATAGATCAGAGAGACAATAAATGTGAAAACTAACTGCTCTATATGTGTGTATAGGTATCTTGTAAACCCAGATCAGACTCTCCAGATCCATTATGTGACTGCCCAGGACTCTGGGAAGTACACCTGCACTGCTGCCAATGATGTAGGTTTGGTCACAGCCAGCGCCCAGCTACTAGTTGAAGGTAGGCAGGAGCTGAATTTTTCTCCACAGGCCATCAGTCCATTTACTGGAATATAAAGTTAGACGGCGAGCTCTCATGTGTCTGTTTGCAGGTTTACCTGCCTGTTCACAAAGCATGCAAGTTTTGGTTCAGGCACTTTAAGACATAGACAGAGACAAGAGAGCTCACAAGAGAGAATCTGCAAGCAGAAAAACAAAACTCAACAGAAACTGAAATGTAAAGTTATTTTGTCTATGGTTCCTTGTTGTAACTGATGAAAAACACAAGTACAGACAGACTCTCAGCCACACTCAGGTAGTATCCTCACAGATTCCACATACTGATGAAGGCTTAAAGGTGGCGATGATGGACATTTATTTTGCACACTGATGACCTACTGTACTTTAAAAACAAATATTACAATTTTTACCATGTTATGCCTTTATTAGACAGTAGAGAGATGACATGAAATGATTAGAGAGAGAAATGGGAAGCGACATTCAACAGGCCTAGACATGAACCAGGGACGCTGCTGTTCATGGTCAGCACTGACATATAGTGCTTCAATACAAAATCAGTATGTTGTTGTCGGGGGCATGATTGAGTGCCGAGATAAAACTTCCTGCTGGAGCATCCATCATAAACATTTTAGCTAGACAGCACAGACTTGTTTCTCAACCTTGTGGATATGTTTGATTTGGGTTGCTCAGCGTGCTCACCAGGTGGTGCATGAAATCAGTTATTAATTAAGGCATTTTTTCTATGCTGAGGAACAGTAATGTTAACCAAGGTCCTTCTTTTTATTGCACTGTTGCACATTTTGTGTACCCTAAATATTCTCCTTGGGTCCATCATATAAAATAAATGTAAAATATAAATGAATAAAACTCTTGTCATTCCAGAGGCTGCCAGCACTAAACAGAAAGATCTCCACAAAGAGCTGTCAGCCCTGCGGGTTGCTCTGGAAAATGTCACTATCATGGCCCCTGGGTCTAATATATCCCAAGTACAATGGAAGGTATGTGCAAGCTAAATCCGAATTTCAGAGAAAGCAAAACAAATATTTCAGGTGTACGATCCATGTTGTGTGTTCTGCCTAGCTCCAGTCCCTCCCAGCCCAGCCTCATTACCTCGATGGCTTCGAGGTTCTCTTTCGCTCTCTGCCGCCTGCCAGCTCAGACTGGACAGCAAAGAAGGTGACACTGCCCAGCTTCCAGACTCAAGTGGGCCCCTTAAAGAGAGGCTACACATATGAGTTCAAAGTTCGCCCCTATGGCAGCAACTTGTATGGGAGGGAGAGCAACACCCAGCACCTCAGCGTCCCTGAGACAGGTGAGAAAGTTTTGATTTAGGATCATTTGTTCTTTTGCCATGTTTAGAAAATAATAGTAAACTTGACTGTTTTCATACAGTGCCGAGTGCCTCTCCACTGGCTGTGTCCATAAGAGTGAGCCATGAGCAGAATAACACCATCTATTTGAGCTGGGAGCCTCCTCCTCATGACACCCACAACGGTATCATACAGGGTTATCAGGTAATCACTGGAGAACAGTTCCTGACACTCAGATGCACAGTACTATCACCTCCTCACCAGAGTGGAAATTACTGTAGGTTCTTTAAACTACATCTAGAAACATTCAGATTGATGATTCAGTAGTTAAGACCATGAATACAGAGAGCTGCAGTACTTTAATCATTTGATTAAAAAAAGCATCAGTGGTCGTATATTTTATGCAAACTGTTTTTCCAGGTGTGGTGCGTGGAGCCTGAGGAGCAGCAGTACCAAAACTGGACAGTGGATAGCGGCCATCACAGCCTTGACATCTCAACTCTCCAACCAGGGAAACAATATTGGATCACCATAGCAGCTGTCAATGGAGCTGGAGTAGGAGTGCTGAGTGACCCTCATGGATTTATCATCAGTGAGCAAAAGGGCAAAATGTAGCAGTAATATGTGTATCAGTGCACAGATAAAATGCAGTCTGTTGTTTGCCGTGTGTAACCTAAACACATTAAAAAAGAGAAGTTATCATGACTTCATATCTGATTTCAAATGCTTTCTACGTGCTTCTCAGACCCACAAATACGCAGTCCTCCTGATTCAGACAGCCAAAGACGGAATGTGTCTCAGGTGCTGGCCCTGCTTCAGGACCCGGTGTTGATCGGCAGCATTGGTGCCCTCCTGTGGTGCAGTTTGATGGTTGCAGCTGTCTGTCTCTTCAGACGCCACAGCAGGACAGGCCACCTTATCCCAAGACACGGCGGCGCTAAAGGTTTGTATCCAGACAGCTTTAGTGTTAACCATGTTCAGAGATGTACAGGATCAACAGGAATCTCAGTTACCCCTGCTGGGCTTTGTGTTTGTGATTACTTGTCAAAATGACATATGTAATCACAGGCTCAAAAGCTCTCTGTAATTTGTATAATTTTGTTGATGCTTTTTCTTAGGTTTGCACAGACTGGCCAATGAAGATCTCATCATAAAACACAGGTAAAGTGGAGAGAATCGGAAGAGCTTGGTGATTACAAATACAGTGTAATGTAAAATGTAATGACAATGATTTGATAAGTAAATTAAGTATATACAGTCTGATACTTTTCATGCCAAACTGAGATTTACTAAGATCAATGTGATGTAAAGTAGAAGCAGTTACTATTAACCCTGAGCCATGGTTCTGCTCGAGGTTTCTGCCTCTTAAAAGGAAGTTTTTCCTTGCCTCTGTCGCCTAGTGCTGCTCTTGGTAGGAATTGTTGGGGAAAATAAGTATTTGAACACCCTGCTATTTTGCAAGTTCTCCCACTTAGAAATCATGGAGGGGTCTGAAATTGTCATCGTAGGTGCATGTCCACTGTGAGAGACATAATCTAAAAAAAAATCACAATGTATGATTTTTTAACTATTTATTTGTATGATACAGCTGCAAATAAGTATTTGAACACCTGTCTATCAGCTAGAATTCTGACTCTCAAAGACCTGTTAGTCTGCCTTCAAAATGTCCACCTCCACTCCATTTATTATCCTAAATTAGATGCACCTGTTTGAGGTCGTTAGCTGCATAAAGACACCTGTCCACCCCATACAATCAGTAAGAATCCAACTACTAACATGGCCAAGACCAAAGAGCTGTCCAAAGACACTAGAGACAAAATTGTACACCACAATGCTGGAAAGGGCTACGGGGAAATTGCCAAGCAGCTTGGTGAAAAAAGGTCCACTGTTGGAGCAATCATTAGAAAATGGAAGAAGCTAAACATGACTGTCAATCTCCCTCGGACTGGGGCTCCATGCAAGATCTCACCTCGTGGGGTCTCAATGATCCTAAGAAAGGTGAGAAATCAGCCCAGAACTACACGGGAGGAGCCGGTCAATGACCTGAAAAGAGCTGGGACCACCGTTTCCAAGGTTACTGTTGGTAATACACTAAGACGTCATGGTTTGAAATCACGCATGGCACGGAAGGTTCCCCTGCTTAAACCAGCACATGTCAAGGCCCGTCTTCAGTTTGCCAATGACCATTTGGATGATCCAGAGGAGTCATGGGAGAAAGTCATGTGGTCAGATGAGACCAACATAGAACTTTTTGGTCATAATTCCACTAACCGCATCCCTACTGTGAAGCATGGGGCATCATGCTTTGGGGCTGTTTTTCTGCACATGGGACAGGGCGACTGCACTGTATTAAGGAGAGGATGACCGGGGCCATGTATTGCGAGATTTTGGGGAACAATCTCCTTCCCTCAGTTAGAGCATTGAAGATGGGTCGAGGCCGGGTCTTCCAACATGACAATGACCCGACGCACACAGCCAGGATAACCAAGGAGTGGCTCTGTAAGAAGCATATCAAGGTTCTGGCGTGGCCTAGCCAGTCTCCAGACCTAAACCCAATAGAGAATCTTTGGAGGGAGCTCAAACTCCGTGTTTCTCAGCGACAGCCCAGAAACCTGACTGATCTAGAGAAGATCTGTGTGGAGGAGTGGGCCAAAATCCCTCCTGCAGTGCAAACCTGGTGAAAAACTATAGGAAACGTTTGACCTCTGTAATTGCAAACAAAGGCTACTGTACCAAATATTAACATTGATTTTCTCAGGTGTTCAAATACTTATTTGCAGCTGTATCATACAAATAAATAGTTATAAAATCATACATTGTGATTTCTGGATTTTTTTTTTTTTTTTAGATTGTCTCTCACAGTGGACATGCACCTACGATGACAATTTCAGACCCCTCCATGATTTATGAGTGGGAGAACTTGCAAAATAGCAGGGTGTTCAAATACTTATTTTCCTCACTGTAAATAACACCACAGAGTACGGTCTAGACCTCTTCTATGAAAAGTGCTATGAGATAACTGTTGTTGTGATTTGGCGCTATATAAATAAAATTGAATTGAAGTGAGTTATAATTCAGACTATAGTCGTATTTTTACTAGAGAAAATACAGTGTTATAAAATGTTCCAAATACTTTTCCTTTAAATGATAAGTGCTGCCTTCTTTACAGAATGGCCGCTCCAGACTCCCCCTGGATCTCTGGAGGCTGGAGACCTGCCTTCAACCAGAAGTATCAGGACTTATGGGCCCAAGGTGAAAAACATCCAGGGATCAGGAGCACCAGTGAGTACTGATAGCAAATTGGCACATATGAAGCTGAAGTGGTGGTCTAACACTTGGTCATGACACACAATAAGCGGTAGTCTATCCAACTGAGGATAAAATGAATAAATTGTTAATAGAGTCTGAGATTGATCGAAGGCTCCTAGGGTGCTTTTACTAAGTTCTTTACCTTCTGTATTATTCAAAATGGACAAGCAGTAAATCAGTGTATAGTATGACCAACACAATATTAGATAGATAGAACACACTGTTCTTTGTTGTTATGATGAATTAGGTAGAATTATTATTATGAGCAATGGTGGAGAAGATATATCAAATTATAATATGAGAAAGATAATTTGAGTAAATAATATGATATAATATCATCAGGTCGGCCCACAGGCCACAAGAAAAACTAAGTTCACCACAGTCTGTTATACAATAAGCGCTCAATACAAAACCCAGTTCAACCACCAATTAATGAGTCCTTATTTCAGTTCAAATCTTCTGGTAGTCCTGGAAGTCTTCTGTATCCCAGTAAGCAAGCAAAAAATACTCAGTTTGAGGTTCAATTCAAAAGTTGGCCAACGAAAATAAAACCAAGTGTCTCCGCTCGTGTTTAATAGACAAACTTAGTAATTCTCCGACAACACCGGAGTTCCCCCGCAGCCTGCAATGCTGTAAGTGGCGCACTGGCTGTAACCAGGCAGTAACTCGGGACAGGCTAAGCCTCTTTCGAACTTGTGAGTTTGGTTTGAAATGCCGTTTCACAGATATTTCCTGAGCTGACTGGTGGCTGTGTGCGTGACGCAGGTGCTGATCATCACAATATGCTTGCCTTACTACACGCGTCTTTCTGTTGTGCATTTTTCCTGTCCGTTAAAGCCGAGGATGGCCCGACGATTTTACCCACCACCAAGTTACCTGCGTGTGGCGGGTGTTACTTTCATTCCCTGTGTGACACTAAAGTTTATGTAGTGTCAGCTTCTGTCCAGCTTAATGCCATTGTACAAACAAGAAGGCAAGGTACGTGCAGACGGGTGTAATGTGACCAGAGTTTAATCGCAACCTTTGCGATTAGAAAATCTCGTTTTATTACATTGCGATAATATCGCAAATGCATTTAATCGTTCAGCCCTACTTGTGTGTGGAATGTTTGTATCAATTCTTAACTACTGTTAAATCCTTCTGCTCATCATCAACTGTAATTTAAAGTTATCTGCCAGTCTGTGGTAACAAGATGCAAACTCCAGAATCAATCAGAAAATGAAAAGCAGAGATATGTTGAGTTTCTGTTCTACTCTGTTTGCTTTAGTAGTTGCTCATTAAAAAGTGAGTAAATTGTTGTTTTTTCCCTTGGTCTGGACCAAGTGAACTGTACTAGATATATGAAAGACAGCCTAGTCTTGTGACAGTTTTCCTCCATACAGTATTTCAGAATTTCTCTTGAAACATCTTACAGTACCTCTGACAATAAACTTCATTAGCATAAAAATGCCCTGGAGTGTCCAAACATATTCCCCCGTGTTTCATTAGGCCTCCCAGTCTCATCCAAGAAGGACCCCACCTGTCTGGACTCAGCTGTCCCCATTGTGACCGACAGCTGCGGCGTCTATGGCACTTTTTACGTGGACCTGATGGGAAATGGCCTCAAGACCTTCAACAGTCCCGGGCGATGCCCTAAAAGGCCTCACGGTCAGCTTGATCAGCAAGGAACTGAGACCATCCAGATATTCACTCAGCCTGTGGCAAAGACCTCACCCTTCGGCAGCCAGGAGGCGCTACCATGGAAACATGCCATACGCCCCCAGCCCAAGATGGGTGTGCTGAGGGAGTCATGGGAAAAGTCTCACAGCAAGCAAGGTGAGTACTGTTGGATAGCTGGGAATGTGATGTTAATACATGTGCTATACTTTATTTTCCTTATTTTCACAGTCCTCCTTCCCCTCTTTCAACTTGATACATTACTTCAGTATGTAGTAAAAATGTTACAAATGCAGACAGAAAACAGCTTTAGGATATTTTACAATGTATCACCATGGAGTATGTAATGTGTCCAAATGTAATTGATTTGTTTCCCCCCAGAGTTACATGCAGTGAACAGTGTCCCCATAGTGCCAACCAGGAACCAGGCTTGTCCATCCAGTGTCTACAAACAGAGACTCAGTCACATACCATCAGGCCGGCACGGTATGATAAAACCTGTACATTGCCATTATTGTCCATACTGTACAGCAGCTCCTACCTCACTAACTAGAGTGAGTGGGAGAGGAAGACATCCTACATTTACACTCTAGAAACAGCACTGTCATCTTTTAATAATTTCAAATTAAAGGAGTAATATTTGGTTACTGGCATTTAGTAATATATTATTTTATTTCAACTTGTCCTGTGTTTTTATCCAGATGGACATTCACAGTACAGTAAAGTTGCCTGCGGTCCTCGCCTGCTGCATTACTCTGCATCATTACACCTGGTGGACATGCTGCCCCCACCACCACCAATACCCACAGAGGACACCACGGACGCGTACAGCCTCACCTCAGATGAAGGGTAAGACACGCACTCAGCTCAGACTGGACGGTTCGAGGGTGGAAAAAGGACTGCCGGCGCACCACTAATTTTCTAGCTACCACAGGTGTCATGAAGAAGTAGTGTAATGGAAGTATACAGGCATCAGAGCAAATCAGATTTACAAGTGAGTTAAAAACATAGAAAGCTTCTTAACACAGGAAAATGTAGAATTTCATATAGTCACTGGAGATAGATGACCTGCAAGCCTGTTGATGAATGAGAAACCAATAAGCAAAGGAAGTCTCTCTCTTGTATTTTCCTCAGCTCCAGTCGCTCTACAAAGCTAACAGTGGACACAGGCTCTCTCCAGTCAGTGTGTGCTGTATCAGGCCACCTTGAGAAAACAGGATTCACCAACAGCAACACCAGCTGCCCCTCCTACAGCCACCTGTCTACTACATCATATTCCATGTCAATGGATGGCGAACAGGGCGGGACACTGACAGCAGAGGAAGCCACCCAGTATCTGGAGCTCAGCCCTAAACCTGAGAGATGCAGGTAAAGACACAGTGCAGCTGGCTCAATTGGCTCAGTTAGTCCTAGTTGTAGCTAGATCTGGCTAAGACCCCAGCATATTTTTGTACAGATGTTTTAGAACAAACTTGAGTCGATATTGTGCAGGCATTAATGCGTTCTTTAGTTCTTGCATTCAGTATGCAGTTATCGGACCATGCCATCACTCTCTGTCAGCAGTGCCCTGCCTGAGCAGCGCCCCTCCCTCTCCCACCCCTTCCCCCCCACCCTGGGCTACATCTGTGGGCAAGTCTGTAACCCTGCCACTGATGAGCCTGAGGCCCCACCGATTGGCTTGCGACGTGCCCGCCTCCAGAGCACACCTTCCTCCTGCTACAGTGACTGGGACAGCTCACTGTGGAACACCTGGAGCTCCGTCATGGACTACAACATGGCCAGTGCACGCACCAGCCTTATCAGCTCGGTGGACAGCTGCTACACTAACGACAGCGCCAACTTTGCCCGCTTGCTGGCCGTGGCAGCGGAGACCATGAGTGGAAGCTCTTTGTCAGGTAAGCAGAGACGGACCGTCGTTTGATTACTGACGGACGCTCATTGCAAAAACACAATGATTCTTCAACAGGCTGAGCTCAGTCTGGGAAACCAGGGATGTGATCATTTTTACATCGTAGTGATGGCTGTAGAATGAAAATGAACATTCAGATTTGGAATTCTTTAATAATAAAAAATCCGTTTTAGTAACCCATCTTAGTTTTAGCACTATGAGGATGGCCTTCATTCTGATAGTCCAAATACACAAATTACTCCTGTGATATCATCCCACTTGTCCACTTTCCATCAGTTCCATACTCTGAAGCATACAGTGACGAGTAAATGGCTAACATATGTGAGCTACTACCAGGAGTAGTCCATTTAGCCCTAATTATCAGACAATGACTCAGACAAACACGTCCAGCTCTAAATGTTGAAAACTATGTCTGGGTCACTGATCTTGAAGTATTTTATTTATGTATTTAAAATATTTTTGGTTCTGTCTCTTTATATTATCTTAAATTTGCCTCAGAGGGATTTTATAGTCTGTTCAACATCATGATCAACATGATCCATTTTTAGACCTAAATAAAATGAAATAATAATCCCTTAAATGAAAAGGGGGAAAAACCTCATCAAGAACAACGGAAGATGGACCCCTCCATCAGGACAGACAAAGTGGCAATAGTAGTAAGTAGTAATAATAGTAAGTAGAGAAGCAGAACATTATAATGACAGTGTTGGGTAAATAAAGTACAATGTGCAATGTTTGAGTGGAAAAGTTTAATGTCAAGGTGCCGCCAAGTAGTGGTGGGACCTGGATCACAAAGCGTCTGTACCACCAGCATACACTTGGAAAGAAGACAGACTCAAAATATACACCGAATGCAAAAGTCAAGGATGCTATTCACACAGAGAGAGACGAGACAAGAGGTGGATGAAGTTGGTCATTTTCAAATGCATCATGTAAGAGCCCCTTTGAACCAAGAATTCAAGAAAGACAGACTGAGTGTGCTGAGGGAAGAATACCTGCATCAGAGACACTCTGTTGTTTAAAAGCTTAAGTATTATGCTTTTGTCATTGTCAGCAAATGAAAAGTCCAAAACCAACAATGGGTGAGTCAATCTCAATACTTTCTGACTTCATTGGCTACTGAGGCTGTAAATCTTTAAAAACAACTCACAAAAACAATGTTTCATTAAAAAGGTGACCCCTTGTCGCTGTCTACCAATTATGGCTTTTTCAAATAATACTTGTTTTTCTTATTTGATTACAACACCTTTAGGTAAAATGGTTCAGTAAATCACAATAAAAGGAACACATCTGTTTTAGCTGCTTTTCTATTCTGTTATTCATCTTGTGAACTTAGATTTGTCTTGCGGTAGTTGAGAAGCACCACTTTTACACAGTCTGTTATTTGAAAGTGTCAAAAACAACAACAACAAAAAGGAATGGCTGACTATGACGTGTTTAAGAATGAAGAGCCTCAGATAGGATCCTGGCCTGTTGTGCTTATTGCATTCCCCCCACTAGATGGGGCCCTCCGTCCATGAACTGGTAACATGCCACCCTTGGCAGACTAATAGCACACAGGAAATCAGTCAAACAGAACCCTGAAACTCCTGACACAAGTTAATTTTGACTGTTCTCATCATTCTGATGTTTAACATTCTAAATCACTGTAAAGAAGAAAAGAGCTCAGAACACATCTCTGGCATGTATGCACGCACATAAGAGTGTGCGCACATACTTCACATGTCTGCGTAGGTTTTGAATCAATGGTTGTGCATGTGTCTAATATCTAAGATGGCACCAGGAAATTACTTCGGACCTTCCCTGGTGTGTCACTTCATTGGTCACCCTGCTTTCCCTCTGCAGGAACCACTCAGCTTTATTCCATTTCCCAAACTCTCACTTCTGGCTTTTCACCTCCTCAGCTATACACTTTTTTCACGGTTGCACTGCTGTATGTGTGAAAACATGCAGCAGTGCACTGTGGAAAAAAGGTGTTTTCTCTGCAGCTGATAATGCAGTCTCACAATGACTTGCATTAAAGTTTAATAATATGACTCCAAAGCTGGCGATCGGATGGAACTACACTTACCTCTTTTCCCTCTAATGGCAACTTGCTCACCCCGTGCTGTGGTCTTTTTCATCTTTAAGATCTGGAAAGTTGCACGTCATTCATCCAGGTGACTACATGCACAAAAATTATGTTTTTATTTTCTCGGGATACGTACAAAATACTGTCTTATTATATTCCTATTAAATAGAAGTTTCCTGGTCAGCAAGGGAACAATGAAATAAAAATATTCACCTTCTCACTTACCAAGACAAAAGATTTGATTTAACTACTAACTAAGTACTCTAAAGAACTGGATACAAACGGTGGGCTGATCATATGGAGAGGAGCAGCAGGAACAGGCTTGTTTCAGATTGGGACACTGTGGGCAATATGCTCCTTCACACACTCACTTTCCGCTTAGAATAAATTATTATTATTCCTGGACAGCTACACTTCCGGAGGTCTTTGTAAATGTACCAGTACCTTTGGAATCCAGAACATAGCTGATGTGAATTGGCAATGTTTGTTTTGGTTTTATTTTCAGTGACAGACAGCTGCTTCAAAGGAGCTTCTAAAATTGCTTTTCCCCAGAGAATCAGCGTGAAAGGGGGCTCCTCACAGGCTTCAAATGTTTAGTTATTCTGTTACCTTCTCCGAATAGGCAAAAAAGCTCCTGTTTTAATATAACCCCTCCACTCCATATTGAAATGCATGTCGTCCTCTTCTGTGTTTAGACTTCTCTCCGCCGGCCTCCCCCCTCAGTGCCTTGTATCCGTCATTTTGTGCAGAAGGAGATGCATTCGGGGAGCTGGAGCCGGTTCCTGCGTGGGACTGGAGCACGGCCTGGGTGGAGGAAATGGAGGCTCAGTACAGAGCACACTATCCTGGCAGAAACACCAGACCCTTTGACACTTAGGGAGAGTAAAAGATGCAACTGAATTTTGAGATCTTCTGAAAAACACTTCACGGCGATGCCAGAACTGCAAGACAAGAAGAGGGGATAGACATAATACCCCAGCAGTTACTGATTTCCTTTGTGAGAGCGCCAGAAAGTGTTTTTGAGGTCTGAGTAATTCAGGGTAGTGATTTTGTAGTAAAGAATAGATAAATAAATAAATATCTGGATATGAAGTACAATTGAAGCCACCACCTTGATGTTTGAGACACCTCTGCTAGTAAATGCGCATATGTTGTGTACCTCAGGGCAGTCCAGCTACTATTTTGCATCCTTCAAATGACTTCCATTGAGTTTCTAAAGTTTTTTTCCCTCTCCGTATCCTTTTTCTCTCATTAGAGAAGAGGATAATGAGATACTTCCCTTGAGATGTTCTCACCCAGTGTGTTTTGAAAAGGCCAGAAAAGCACAAAGACAGGATGTGAGACAGGGAGAAAGCAGTCATTAGGCAGAAGAAATACAGTGCTGGAGTTTTCCTCACAGCATGCGTTTGTTACTTATTTTCATGTTTGTTGCAGGGTGTTATTGGGGCTGACGGCCTGCCAAATAAAACATATCATAATGATTTTGTACAGGACAGTTTTACTGATCAAGTGTATATATGCAGGATATTCAGCAAATGTTATTTAAAGAATTTTAAACACAATCCAAATCATTTTCTGTCTTCCTGATTGTTTTGGTGATTTCTTTGACATTCTGGGAATTCTTTTGTATTTTAAGATTGTTTTTGTCTTTATACACCCTCTCTACTTTTTATTGTTACACAAAGTTTGCATTAGACAAAACATTGTGCAGTTGAGAGTAGCAAAAGTAGCAAAAGTTATTTTTAACATGTTTAATTAAACTAACTCGAGGTTTTACCTCTACATAAAAGTAAAGGAGTTTTAGCAAGCACTCAATGAAAAGTATTAGCATAAGAGCTGCATAGCTCAGTCTCTGCATGCTTGATACATTTTTATATATAAATTCACTAATGGTAGTAGAATCAACGTTTTACATTTTGTAAGAATTTGCATTTTATTTTATTTACATTACATTACATATATGTTTTATAGTTATGAATAAAATCTATGTATTGATTGAAATCGAGTTTTTCATTTTGTGAGTGTGTCTCCTGGGCCGTGAAATAAAAGCTCCTGCCATGTTACATTTTGTATGCAGCAAAGATTCCCATGTAACACTGACAGTAAAAAAAAGTTGTCTGTTTGATGTTACTGTCCCAAATTAAAAGCAAATTCACACAAGCTTCAAATGTCAGTGGGACTACATTTTATTTTGAAATATCCACCACGCAGAATTTAGCTGCTGTTTCTAATAGAGGGTTTTTCACTTCGAAATGTTAGTGCTTCACTGTTTCAGTTTGCCATGAGAGTCTCTGTGGATGTGGAGGGCGTGAAGTTAAGGAAGTGAAGTATCTTTACATCACACACTGTCCGTCTTCTTAATGGCAATGTGGAGCAGGATGGTGGTGTTTAGAACTCGTCTGTTTAGCTTGATTAACCAAGGCAAGCAATGCTGCTGTACCAGATAATGGCTTCTAATTACAAACTCGTTGGAGAGAATAATTAAACCTTAATCTATGTTTGTGTTTATATAGAAACAGGAAACATGTGATTTTTAATTCTGTGTGTAACTAATGTTTCCTCTCCAGAAGAAAAGAAGATTTCATGTTCTCTCCCCGTGTAAAGCAGATTATTTGCCCACACTACTGACTTGATGTTTCGGTCAAACCTCGCCTCGTCGAGTTGTATTAGCATTAAGGGAGAAAAGCTCTGATGCCCAGCAGATGTTTTTACAGTAAATCGAATATGATTTCCTCAACGACTTTGTGTTCAGGATGGGTGTTTGTCATGCAGCTGCGAAGCGCAACACGCTCTTTTTCAAAGTAATCCGTGTCTTGTATCTGGGATGCTAAGGTCAAATGAGAATGGGAATGTTGAGCTAAGAAGTGCTTTGCTGTCTGTTTCATTTATAAGCTGCACAGGAGCAGCCGTGCTGGGATCAGAATTTATGTGTGGAGTATTTAAAAACCAGTCCATAATTACCAGAGTTGAAAAACATGCAATGATGTGAGGTACAGGGGTCATTTTTTTTTTCAAAGGAGGAGCACGCTTTGCTTCTGTGCAAAAAATACGAAATAACTTAGTTAGAGCTTTTCGTGTCTATTCTTTCAAATTTAATTTTGAAGATTGACCAGCCTGCTTGGCTTGCAGTTATTGTCAGAGAGTCAAGTAGACCTGCCATTAGCAGTAACAACAAAGCAGGTTAAACTCATAAATAACTAAGACAAAAATCAAGCTTTAAACTGTGTATCGTGTCACATTCACAATCTATATGTACGCAGCAAGTACTGGATTATTAGTGTGTGTGTGTGTGTGTGTGTGTGTGTGTGTGTGTGTGTGTGTGTGTGTGTGTGTACACGTACTGGACTGCCAAAGGGATTATCCTTCATCTGTCTCCTTCACTAAAGGCCATATGTTTCTGCACAAAGCTCCCAGCTCCTCTGAGCAGCACACACACTCACTGATAGATGAGACCACACACTATGAGGCTCACATAGTAATGATTCAAGCACTACTGTATGTCTGCTTGCCTATGAATTCATGTGCACACACACATACATGCACACACATTGCCCTTGGGATTTGTGCATCACAGACTTTGCTCTATGCCAAAATACCAGCTTTATATAGCATGTTAACAAATCAATGACCCATATTAGACATGGCCTGAAACCATGCACACACTGCATACACACACACTCACAAACACTCACACACACACATGTAGATTTACTGCATGTCTCTCATGTAGTCTGTTATTTTACCAAATGGATAATTACCATTCTAAGACCAGACATAAAAATATGGGCAGTGTTGTGTGAGGGAGTCCAACATCATGGGTTATGACCTTGCCTTTATGAAACTAGACCCTTTTAGCACTTAACATAACATCTATGTGCAACTTGTGCAAGGTACAAGGTACATTTATTGTCAAATTATAACAGGGTTGTAAGATTAGATGCAGTTAGTATTCCCCTTTATGCTACAGAGCTCTGTAGTCTGGTGGTATGAAAGCAGATACTTGTGTATCTCTTGCCAGACTGCAGCAGGGTGAACAGGCTGAGGCTGGGTTGGTACTGTCTTGGGGCTCTGCAGGCACCTCACTTCCCCGATATCACTGATGCTCAGCAGCTGGGTACCAATGATCTTCTGAGCAGTTTTACAGGATTGCGTTTACATCCTCAGGTTGTCATAGCTCAATCCCCAGCCCTTCATTTCGATCCAATTACAATACAGGAACCACTATTGATGATATCACTACACATGAATTGATGGAACGTTATTGATCTGTGGGGAAATTAGGTTCATTTTGCAGCCACACAAGTAATAGGATTCTATGGGGAATCAAAGCAAATAGAATATAACAAAAGGAGAAAATAGATACAGACAATATTGGCAAAGCAGTTAGCCAAAATATATTCAGTGCATCTCAAAAAATTACATTTACATTTTACCCAAAGCGACTTACATTTTGCTATATCAGAGGTCGTGCTCCTCTGGAGCAACTAGGGGTTAAGTGTCTTGCTCAGGGACACATTGGGGAATTGAACCCAAGTCTCTCACATCAAAGGCATGTGTCTTATTCACTGTGCCATCACCACCCCACAAAAATTAGAAAAAGATATCACGTTTTTTAACTGCACCTGTAAATCTGTTCATTCATCAACTGTTGCCAGTTCTGCGTTTCAAATCCAAATTAAATTCTTGTAAAAGTATGATTTGCCACGTACATCCTACTAGTTATAGAAAATGTGTTTTCTCCCAAACCAGACACTCAGTTGTGTCATTACAAGTGCAGTTCAATTTTTGGAGTTTTGGAGATGCACATGTATTTTGACAGTTCAGTCAATGCATATCAGTAATACATTTATAGTACACACTACAGTAGCACCTAATACAAGCAGCACCACTGCACGGTGTTTACAGGAACTGGGCTGTGTGCAGCAGTCTCCATGTCTGCGGTTTAAATTTATTACTGTATTGTGTATGCGGCGGTTCAGGTGGCAGTGGTGCGCTCACATTGATTGACAGCAGTGGCTAACTGTCGTGTTGCATGCTAAAGAGATAATCATTCAATTAACTGGAGATCAATGGCACCCATATGGGTGAGCTGTTTCAATACTGCCCTGTCAGTCACACAGGGCCAGTTGACCGCTTCAACACACACACACACACACACACACACACACACACACACACACACACACACACACACACACACACACACACAAGTGTCTTGCTCATAGCACATTTATTGGGAGACACCAGATTTATCTGTATGTCCCTGTTCATTTAGCATTTTGTTTTAGAAGTAGGAGCAGTTTTTTTACCCCATGAAGGATCACTTCATCTGTCAGTTTGTCTCAAAAATTCAAATTACCCAATTTGGAGATAGTTGAATGATAAGAGACTAATAGCATAGTGTATCTCAAAGTGAGAAAGTCCCCAGTGTAAATTTGCTAAAACTGTATACAAAATATTGTAAAACTACATACGTAGCTTTCTACTTGTTGGGCTATTTTTATTTCCAAACAGAGTGGGGGTGCTGGGTAACACTGCATTAAGATGAGTTTATGTGGCTCTAAAAACAGGCAGGTACATCAGCTGTGCTGAGAGACACTGAGGTAATGATGATCAAACAACATGGTATTGCTCAGAATGTTAGCATGGAGCAATGTTTAAGTTGTCTGTTCACCCCCAAACGACAGATTCTTTTGTCTGTGCACACTGAATATAGTGTAGTGGACAATCTCTTGTTGAATGAGTTCTTTATATATAAATATATGTTCACACAAAACAAAAGGGTGAAATATTGATCATTTTATAGGTTATCACTTATATGCTGAATGTGTTGTTACCCTACAGGCCACTCAATCATTCACCTTCTACCTCCACTAACCCTGCTGCCTACATAATGGCTTCATTTTAGCTCCTCTATGTATGCGTCACATCAGCCAAAAAGTCACAAACATCCATCTCTGCTGTCTCAGGGCAAATTAACATGGAAATTGGTGTGTTGCATTTTGGAATGAGGGAACAGGTGTTTTAAATGAAGCCATCCCCTCCCTTTTATCCCTCCTTTTCTGTCTCTGTCTCTTTTCTCTCCTCTCAGACCCCCGGCCGTCTTCCTTCAGTCCTGGTGGGCGTTTCGGCCCTGACACTGGCCTAATGAATGAGCGAGGTGATTTATAGCTGAGGGAGAGGGGAAAGAAGGGAGGGATAGAGAGAAGTAGAGGGGAGCATGGGAAAGGTAAGGGTGTTGGGTCACGTTGTAGAAGGTCAGTAACGTAAATCTCCTCGTTGTTTTATCTGTTGTCCTCTGCTCTTGTTTGTTTTTTAATTCCACTGGCCCATTGGTGGTAGAACTAATGAAAGCGAAAGAGCAACATCTCTTTAAGGACATAAAAGGACATGTGACTTGCTAAACAGCAATTACTTAACACGGGAAAAAGAATTTTGGGGCCCTCGCATAGCATACAGAATAAAAACACTTGGTTCGATTTAGTGGAACAGCTAATCCCCTGAAAAGTTTAAAGATGGCCCACACAAAATGTAGTTTTTGACCTCTTGAGATTATTGCAGCAGCAGATCCAGACAGCTTATTCAGTGGGTGTCTGATAAGCCATTTTTAGTCCTTTTCAAAAATAAATTGGTGCTTTTAAAAACCATGCAATTTCTGTCTTTGGCCGAAAATCAATTAAACGAACAGTCATTCCATAGTAACCATCATTAGAATGCTCCTTCCATGTAGTGTCAGGGGTTCTTGGATGACTGCGATATACTGAGGTTACCCTTGAGTCTTAAACTACAAGCAAACATTAAACATCAAATGATCATTTGACAGGGGTCCAAGGGGACCTAGGTTGGGCCACGAATCTGTATTCATATTGAGTTTTCTCAAATACTGAAGGTAAACCACAGCCAACGAACAATGCACTGTACTTGACAATTTATATGGCTTTATGTAAATTCTTAATCTGAAAGGTCAGTAGTACCGTTAAAGTAAACGTAGTGGAGTAAAA